AAGGGAAGGGGAAGGGGCAGGGGCAGGGGCAGAGGGGGAAAGGTTCGAAGGGAATCGAACCAGATGACCTGGGAATCCTGATATGGGGGACCTTAACCTGGGAATTGGGGACCTGATCCTGGGGGACCTGAAAGGGACCTGATCCTGGGGGACCTGAAAGGGACCTGATCCTGGGATATTGGGGACCTGAATGGGACTTGAACCTGGGGACCTGATGGGGACCTAGATGTGTGGGAGGTCTCGCTTCGGATCGACGTGGAATCGCCCTAGTCGGTAGGGGGTCTTGGTGTGACAGGAATTTCGAGTTTGAAAATGTTATGTATGTGATTTTCTAGACCTCACCTTCTCTGTGGTGAGTGGGTCCGAGGTCGTTACTACGGGGTAGGGAGGGAGGTAGGTATGTTACTGACTGACTGACTGACAGGTGTGGTGTGGTATGAATTTCTCGGACAAGCTGTACATATACATATACATATATCGTGCAAGGTACGTGACGTGAATGAATCTGTAGATGGAGGCATTACTTTGCTACATGACTACACGACTACATGGCAAGATGAATACATCGTGTCGAGGACACGTCGAGACAAGCTTCACCCAGCCGCAGCCCGCCCCAGGCCAGCGCAGCCGAGATCAGCCTTTTCTTCTTGTCCCCTTTCGTCATGGATGTTGACACAGCACATAGCCATGGAGATGAACATGGACATGGACATGGCCTATCACGAACGCTCGAGTCCTCTTCCATATGAGCAGCTCACAGAGTTACCCAGGGGGTGCTCATGACAAGGCCAAACCCGGCCCGAGGTCAGTCCAGCTCGTCCGCTCGTCAGCTCGTCAGCTCTTGAAAGCGCACGGCAGCCTTACTTACCTAACATGGTAATCACCATTGACTCAAAGGAGTATCCCGAAGCGTCACCGCCACGACTATGGACCACCACCTCAAGCGGTGCAGTTCAATCAAACTAATCCGATGCAATCTGATAGACGGATTTTCATCTCTCGCCATATTTCTACTCTTACGTACTCAGCGGATATGCGGACATAGATACACACTGCCTCCCAACCTCAGACTGGGGAATGTGCAAGGGGAAGGGACTTCGAGGGGGCAAGGGGAGAAAACCAACTGTGTCACGGCGCAAAAAGGGCAAAGAGCTTGTCTCGTTGGTGTTGGTAAAGAGGACTTGTTAGCTGCATTGCACTTCGACACTTTGAGGGAGCAGCTGAGAAGCTGAGAAACGACCCTGTCCCGTCCTGCATGTACGCACGGGCTAGGCTGACCTGCGAGCCTGTGACTCGTCGGGCCTCTTTACGGCCATCCATCTACGAGCTGACGAAGTGTGTTGGTCACGGTTACACAGCGCAGAGCTTCATCTCCCTCGCCAGAGGACAGACTTCAATATCTAGGGTGCTAGGTATAAAGATGCCGCCGATCCATAAATGTTGAACTGTCCAAGCTCGCCAAACCGACCAGCTCGCAACAACAGCACAACTCATTAAAAACTCCGTCGATTTTATATCCCCTCTGTCCACTCCACAAAAATGCATCTCGTCGTCCTTCTCACCATTGCATTTACAGCGACAAGCTTCGTCCAAGCATCCTCCTGCAAGACACGCAACGACTGTCCGGGCGATCAAGTCTGTTCTGGTACGTTTTCCATTTTGCTTTGGCCTCCCGTTCCAAGCACATTCGTCCTCGTCCTTGCTCCCTGCTTCGCACCACAATTAACATGCCACTTTTTGTTGTCGTTCCAGCATGCCCCAGTCAGGAATTCCTCCGATTCGCATGCGTCGAGCCCTCTAGTTCGATTTGTGCTGGGAAGGGAAACTGCGAAGGCGGCGGATCATGCGACGTTTGTGGCAACCCAGGAGATTTCTCGAGGTTGACTCCTTGCCGCGAGCTTGACTTGTGACGGCACCAACATGATGGGGGCGTTGGGGGGGGGGGGGGGTGTCTGGGAAATGGCGACTATTGCTCTGAGAAGGGAGGCGTATGTGGTTGTGTCTGCGACCGCTGAGAGAATTCTTCGAGGGTTGAGCCTTGCCTAGTTCGTGGGTCATGTTATAGAGAGTAAAGTAAACAGCACTATGCAGCATTCCGGGGGAAAGTGGCCGAAAATAAACCTCCGGGTCAACGACGAACGTTCTTGCTGCGCAATAGTACCAATGAAACCAAACAGATGACAAAAAGTAGAGGAAGATAGCCCGAGACTCGTCATTAGCAGGAACTTAGGGCCTGGGAGGAACGTCGAACTTCTTACCGCCGTGTCCAGACACACCGCGTCCTCTCGGCCTGCTTGAGATTCTCTCGGATGAGATCTAGATCTGCCGCAACCTGCTCGGCACTGTCGTAGTTTCTCATCCAAGCATTTCGTGATGACAGGTCCGAGCAAGGAGATTGTCTGTGTCTGGGAATCGGTCTTCCTCAAACAACTTTTAGACCGCGCTATCCCCCTTTGTCGGAATACGGCTGATGGGTCGTCTCGAGTTCATCGAGCAGAGACCCAAGGGCAAAAAGTTCCGATAGAACAGAAGGGATCTGTCGGTGGTAGTTTTGGATGTTCGGAGCGCAGACTGGGGTAGATGTTGGGTGGGTTCCTGGGCGGCGATAGACATCCACCTCAATAGGAAGACTTCGACGGTCATCGTCTGTATCGCGAGGACGTTCGATGATGGCCGAGTCAGAGACCTGAAGACGAGACTACTGGCGCCCTCACTAAGGAAAGGGAGATTGGTGATGGGGCCATCGGTGGCCACGGGCTATGCCATTGATACACCAGGAATCGAGTGCAGGTACAGCTCCATATTGCCCACTTCATGGAAACAAGGGATACTGGCTCTACGGTTGCGCTTTTGGCGTTTCATGTATTCACCATTCCATGCTCTTTTGCTTCGCCGTTTCCAAGTCCACACAGCGTAACGTCGAGTGCCCACGAATGCCACTGTTGTATCTACCAGTACTAGGTAGCCAAAAAACATCTGTTCAGGCTTCCCCTTTGAGCTTCAGCCTAGCCAGTTCGGCCGGCGTGGTGGGTTTCCTGCCCAGCAACCATTCGAGGACGCCCGGATTCCCCAGCAAACCCCTGCTGTTGTAGTAGAGCAGCATGCGCTCGGGTGCGTCCCTGAACGTCTGGTCCATTTCTCCGGCACGGTCGACGCCGTAGGTCATCTTGATGAACATCTCGACGGCCTGTTCCAGGGGGACGCGCTTGATGTCGAAGCGTATGCCGAGCACGCCGCCGATGGCCTCGACGTACTCGGCGGTGGTGATCGGCAATGTGCTGACGAGCTGGTACGTGGCGAAGAAGTGGCGCTCGCGCTCGCGGATGACCTTGACGGCGACCTCGGCGTGGTCGCGCACCGCCGAGAAGGACATGCGCACAGCAGGGTTGAATGGCGCCATGAATGTGCCCCTTGCGCCGTCACTCCCCTGCGACGACGCGTCCTTCTGGCTCAGTAGCTGGCCGATGAAGTTGTCCATGAATGTGCTCGGCTGGAGGATCGTGTACGACAAGTCCGATTCCGTCAGGTACTCCTCGATCTGCCGCTTCTGGTCGTGGTGCAGCAGCTTGCTGGCCTCCGGGTGCAGCGCGGAGCTGAAGACAAAGTGGAGGGAACGGGGCGTGGATGGTGAACTTGAGTCTGAGATCACATTGCCGCCCTTCTCTTGCTGCTGCTGCTGCTGCTGCTGCTCCTGTCGACGAGACTCTGCAATAGCGGCGTCGATCATGTTCATGCCCAGCGTGACTTCGTATGGGTGGAAGGGTGGCCCAACGTAGAAGACGGTAGTAGCCCCGTCAACGATCGCAGCGCATTCTTGGGGCACTTGAAGGTTAGCACGCACGACCTCTGCGTCAGGATACTGCTCGGCAAGCCGTGCGCGTGACTTGTCAGAATTGACCACCAGGCGGAGCGCAGGACGTGGTGACGCTGACGATGGCTCTTTGTGTAAGAAGGGGATGATCTGGCTGCATTGTCGACCGCTAGCGCACGTAAGGACAATGAGATCTGATCTCGCCATTTCTCCTCGATAACACTCTAGCTATTGAGCAAATATGACAACCTTGAATGAATGGTTGAGTCGAAAGGGGATTGGTGTTGTAGCGAGAGAGAGAAAGGAGATGCGAAGGATGTCGACGCTGTGTGCCGCACACTTTTTGAGGCTCACAACAATATTATTTCAACTTTGACGTGAAACCACGACCAAGATGGCTCTAGCGAACCACTTAACATACTAGGCCAGAAAGGATATAAGGACTGTTGTCATCGGTAGGTAGATGGCAGTCCACAAAGAGACTGCTTCGCGTTCGGCCACCGACATGTCGATCATGTGCATCATATATACTCACAGTCCCTGCGCCATCAGCGGTGGAGGGTGCGACCTTTTTCGTGACACATATGCCCCTCCTTCTCTGGTCATTTCGCAGCTTGCAGACAGGGACGAGGATCCAAAAGAACACTGCTGGGACGAAACAATGGCAATACATCTCATATCTTAGACAGCCGTCCACACGAATCCGAAACCATCCGGCTTCAAGAAATGCGTTTCTGGGCAAACACATTTCCTTGCCGCCTACACCATTCATTCGTCATGAGTACATCTCGTCAATCTCAGCCGAATAATCCGTGCCTAGTTGATCATATGTCTCTGGCTTCGTTGCAAAGATACTCGAGAGAGCATCCCGGAGTTCGAAATCTTCCATCACTGCCCCAAAACCATAGCATCGGACCTTGCTCCTGATGGACTCAATCATACCCAAGACGTCTTCCCTCGTAAGAGTAGTGTAGTTTCGATGGCCCTTGAGAGATTGTAAAGCCATGATAGGAGTCACCTGGCCGCTGGGGATTGCGCTGCCTTTGAGCGTTTGGCTGAGATTTAGCAAGTTGTTCAAAATTTGTACTGACTCGGCATCTGGCACTTTGTGCTCGTATGTGGGCACCAAGCCACCCTCTTGAGCGGCAACTCGCGCGATATGGCTCGGAGGTGGACAGGTGGCCATCAGGGCATGGCCGGAAAATAGTGCTTCTTCGTCATTGTTGGGTGAGTCCGCTGATCGCCGGACAAGATACTCCTCATGATCACGACAAGTCTGCTCCAGCCTGGATATCATGTGGTCAGTCTCAACAATCCGAGGAATGTATAAAGGCTAGTACTCACTTCAAGATGAAATCAATGCCCAACTGGGGTTCTCTCTCGAAAATACCCGGCATGTCTGGTGTGGCTCCTTCTTCTTGTTTGATGCCGAACTCTTGGATTTCTGGTCCTTGAGGCGAACTGGCGTAGTGGGTTGTCCCGGGAGAGTGACCTGACGCACTCAAGGCACCACCGTTCAGGTATGCTTGTGGGGAATAGCCGCTTGTCACGGAAGCATGCCCCGTCACAGCACTCCCATAACCGACGGATCTGGGACCAACGGATGGGGGACTCAAAGTATTCAGCGATGGAGGGGTCATGGAATTTTCCTCTCGCTTCGGTTTCAGGGCAAGCATAGCTTTCCTGTTCTCGAGTTCGTTTTCGAATGCAATTCCCCGAGATGTTAGGACCTCTCTCAATGCCAGTATCTCTCGTTGCTGATTCTCAATCATCAACTTTTGCTGCTGAATGGTTGCGTCTCGCGTATTCTGTTCGAAGACGAAAACTTCGCGCAGACGTGCAAGTTCCATTTCCAAGGCTTTGATGTAATTCTCTTTACGTTCACGGTGTGTTCTAGCAGACAGCCGCCTTAGTAAAAAGCGCACGAGGCACAAAAGGACTCTACCCACCTTTGAGCTTGCCGATTGAGCTCCTGTCGCCGCGTTTGCGCTGGTTTACTGTCAGGTTTCGGACCTCTTCTCTTGGCCGGTTGCCCATCTAGCCATGATCAGCCCAAATGCCCAGATAGGCAAAACCAATGTGGCTCACCTCTAGTGATCCTCTTCTGCATTCCGCCGAACCCTTTGAGGAAGCCCATGTTTACGGGGCCGCCGTGTGCCTTTGCTTCGCTCGGAACCCCATTGTCTGATATCGATGCCGAATTAGCCACAAGATCATCAATTGAACCGAGTACGAAGGCTGATCCGCCCGTGTTTGATTAGAGTATCCATTCACATTCTTTGCGTCTCTCCAGTGAAAGCTCCTACGATAGCATATCAAGCATGTAATGCTTGAGGAGAGCCATCATCGATCATTATATCGGGAGTGAGATTGCAGCGACTTACGGTAGGAAGATCCAGGCGCATAATCTTGACCGGTCCAATTCGACGGGTCCATGTCGGGTGGTTGTTGCATGTTAAGATGCAGTCAAACTGCGGCACGATGATAATAATATTGATAGACTACCTCCAGCAACCCACTTTGATCATGAGATAAATTGATTTGCGAATCGTTAGATAGAAGGTCAGGGTAAGCCCTGTACTCTGTTGTCCGGTTGTAACAAAGCTGACCACCGTAGAAGCTCGGAATTGGCGCGAGCCGGTCAGAGTTAGTCGAGGATGGAGGCTTGTTTCTTGTTTACCGAAAGGCCACGCAATCGTGCAAACCAGGACGGAGAGTCAAAAGGCAATGACAAGGAGATCGTGTTGAGGATTTCGCAATTAGCATGCCGTCCTGAGACTAATCATGCGACAAGGTCGTGAAAGCGCTGTGAAAATCCAATGTGGGTGCAGCAGAAACTTGGATGGAGGGGTCGAGCGCAAGGCAATATTTTATGGCGGGACAAGATTGCTGATCGCGGTATGGAAAATCTGTGCAACAATTGCGTCGTAGCTTCACTAGAGAGCGATGCGCAACGGAAGGAAGAACCAACAGCGGTTGTAGTCGATGATGGCAGGAAAAGACGTGTTCGAAAAGGTTGAAAGGCGGAGGGGAAGGACGTTGAAAGCTGAAACTGAAGCGGCGTGATCAAGCAGAGGCGGAACCGGGTCGATGCGAAGCTCTCACACCCTGGCCGCGATGGCGCAGTCGTTGGAGATTCGAGACCGGAAGCACAGAAGAATGGGTGGGCACCAGAGGACAAGGAACCTGAGTTGGATGGTCTAATCCGCTGCTTTAGACTGGGGATAGTGATGGGCTAAGAGACTCGTTGATTCCTTTGTGCCAGAGGGCAATTGGTTGGCTGGATCGTGGAGTATTTATGTGCAAGGATACCTAGGCTGGCGGGGTCTATATCGCGGGATCTTGAAGCGGCGGGTGCAGGCACGGAGGGTTGTAAGGGTCTCGAGCCGTGAATTCTCCTGCAGGGGCCACAGCTTTCGTCTTTGTGCTGCACCACGGAATACGGGGAGGAGGCGACCAAGTTTTTCTCCAGGTGAGGACGACTGCCAATTGGCGAGTAGGGGCCGGAAGGGTGTCGGAGGATGGTTAGATAGTGGGATGTAGCGTTACACGTTTGAGGAAGACAACGCAGGACGGACGCGAGTCGTGCAACCTGTGTTGCGATCGGATGCGCAGGTGGATTGAATGAGGTAGAGAGGTAGTTACGTCGTCGAGTCGATGAACACGATGAAGGTTTGCGGAAGAAGAGAGGAGGCAATGGTTTTTGTCCTTTATCATTCTTTTCTCGCCTTGTGGGGTTGAGATGTTCTGTCAGCACCCGAAGCCACTGAGAAGGTCAGAAAGGGCATAACTCACGCAAAGTCCATCAAATAATTTTGTCGCAAGCACAGCCACAGTAAGAGTGGTGTGGGTATAAGCACTTGTAGCCTTGGGACTTGGGAGAAGAGTTCAGCAAAGCTCAGGTCACCAAGGTCATTCATTCAGCCGGCCATGCCCGCGGGTCAAGGAAGGAAACACTGTTCCAGGCGAGAGGAGTGGAACCGATAGATTGAATCTAGGCTTGGATGGCAGTTAAAATCTGTCAGGCACGCCAGAGTAATAAGCACAATGGGTTCCATGCATGGTTAGGTAAGTGCCTGGTAAGTGCCTAGAGATTCACACAGAAACCTCGTGGGCAGTCATTGCGTCAACTGTTCCCGCTAATGAGTGCCAAAAGAGGCTAGTGACGCCTAACTCGTCAGGTAAACGAAGAGCCTGGTTAGCCCGGACGAAGCCCCCAGAGAACCCACTTGGCCCTGTGAGAAGCCGCAGCGGTAATCACATCCGGCCCATTTCCAGGTAATTGACCATGTAAAACAACAAGAATGTTTTTGTCGTCCTCACACAGGCATGTCTGCCGGATCCGGTGGAATCGTAGAGCTTGCAACACCTGAGCCAAGGAGAGGTACAGGAGAGGAATGCGGTGGAAATGTTCAGCAGCGGTGCCGCCATCCAATTTCATCCTGGAAACATTCAATCGCGCACCGACATCGACCTCCCAATGTGCCATCTTGTTGACTACTCTGTGAAATGCACTTACCAGCTGCCCCTTACCTTCCTTGACCCACTCATATCGATTCCACTGAGTAGTCCAACCTCTCTGGTCGCCGACGGCGGGTTGTCACGTTGTTCCGTCGGTCCTTCGTCAACGTCTCAGAAAGGGAACCCTTTTGCTTCCGCGCTCTGTTGCACCAATCTGGTTGTACAGCTTTCCTCGTCGTGATCCGCTGGTCCAGCGACAAGCATGTTTCCTGCACAAGCATCGTCTCTATGTCGCGCGGCTATCATCCACCGCTGCGAAAAGTTACCAGAAGAGGCAGTGGACAATCGTTATGTGTTATCAAGGATCTTGCTTCGATCGCCCGTATCCGACTTAGCAGCCAGGTTTCAATTTCCAGGCATTTGAGGCACTCGCTTGATGGTGCAAATCGCAGCTGCGTCCAAAGTGCTATTTCTAGCTTGGGTATCAGCACAGTCAAGCAACCAACCGTACCTATCAAATCAGCGTAGGAGATTGAGCAAGGGTGGTGATTGTAGCACCCTCGACCATTTCGACAACCATCCAGTTATCAATCTCGCAGTTGTTCACTGACATCTCTTAGAGCAAGCCCTTCCATCCGAGTCATCAACGTGGAAACGCAGGTGTCTAGGAAGCAGTATGGGAGTGCCTCAAGCTGCTGCCAGAGGGGAAAATGACACTCACTCCCGTCTGATTTTCTCCCTCTGATTTTTATCAACCCAAGCGTGATTTTGCTGTTTGATGCCGTGGAACCATATACTCGTTGCTCCATCATGGTAGTCCAAAACCGACGGGGACATGCTTCTAGAAGCCTGAAGCCCATCGAGAACGAGCCAGCGAGTGGTGGTAAACAGATACTCAGATGGGAAAATCGATCACCTGGTGGGAGGAACTTGGTAGGAACAGACTGCGGACAACCTACTAGGCACTCAGTACAGGACATGGCATTGACCAAGGATCTGCTACGGCGCATTAGCAGCGACAGGAAAAGGTCTCGAGGCTAGATTTATAACTCGACAGTAGGAAGAGGCGGATGAGAGACAGACGGTGGGACACTGATTAATTAATACGTACAGACACGCATGCCTCATGCGCACCAAGTGAAGTGGTGATCAGGCCATGATTGGTGCCCTGGATTGCGTTTTCTTCGGTCCACTGTCCTGATTTGGTTGGAATTTGGAATTTGGAATTTTGCCTCCAAACCGATGAGACGCGCCACGTTGCTACACCAACATTCGCTCGTTCACGCTCGCGAATCGTGGACAGTGAATTGGCTCTCTCTTGATGTGAAAGCGGTCTTCTGCACTGTCATCGCCCCGTCTTCAACTTCTGTTATCTTCCCTTTGACACCAGGTTTCCTTCATTGGCCAAAAATGGGCAAGATTCGTACCCTATACCTACAATGGCGACGGTCGAGAATGAACTCCTAGTTCATATCAGTGCTCCGAGCACTGCACGAGATGACAGACGCTACATCGCCATCGCTCAATCCGTTCTGGACTTCAGGCCAGCCATAATTACCCGAGTCTCGGGCATCGATTCCTCTTCACTGGTTTCTGTTTCCGGGGAGGAGTCCGCTGGCGACAATGAAAGCGATTCACTCATTGATACTAGGTTGGTGTCCGATGTTTGCAGAATAGCGCAATGTGATATTTATCGGAATGGCCCAGTGGCTTAGGACCTGGACATGCGTATTCGTACCTTGGGATTACTTCGCACTGCTACAGGAAGACTTACTTTACAATAGGAGTTCCTCTTCTCGTCAGCCAATCCTGCCTCGCCCGAGCACTGCTCCTGAACTGACTTCGACCGGCGATCGGATTGAACTACCTCGAGCTGGCATGAGCCCCAGACGAGCCTCTTCCGAGACTTCTTCTGTTAGCACATCGTCTTCCACGCGTTCCAGGTTGCAGTCCGAATCTCCGAATGTGGTTCCACAAGATGTGAAAGCTATATCTGCCTCTCGTTCACAGTCTCGGCCTGGGAGATCCTTGACCGAACCAGGGTCGGTGTCTGCACATGGGGAGCGAAGACGAAAGAAGCCACGGACGGAAACTGACTCTGGCAATGTCGACTCTATCGATGACCTTGCCGACAGAATCTCTGGCGGCCATGGAACAAGTTCTACTGAGTCGGTGTCATCGTCCGCCCGGAGGCTCTATGGTACTTTTGGTGTGGAAGCGCGCCAGTCTAAGCAAGTTGAAACTTGCAGCATAATCGATCTTACAAGTCCTGACCGCCACAGCAAGCCAGTCTATGCTGGCGCCCGTGACCGCAAAGTGCTGGTGAGAAGTCCGCGACCGCGAGCGTCGCCGGTTGCCAACTGCGCCGACTCTGCTACAATTCTTCAGCAAGACCATCACCAGGTAAGACTGTTGCCTGCAGAGGTCCGAGCCCCATATCCCAATGGTGGGCAGTCGAAATTCACGACGCATATTACCAAAACCCTGAAGAGGCTGACGCATGGGGAGGCACCCGCGCTTAAGCACTTCCGACCGGCATTCGTTTGTCGAGACGTCAAAGTCCTTGAGCGCGGTTACTGGCAATTCTACATCAAAATAGCAGAAGAGAGCGTCGTGGAAGAATCCAGACGACCTCGAGTAACACTAAAACTACTAGGATCCACGGCGCGCAAGAAACGCGGTGGTGGCGCAGGTGTGCTGGCTTCAAAGACCACAAATCACGCCTTGTGGACTGGGGATGAATTCATCCAGTTCTGGGAGAATATGACCTCGGTTATTGAGTCAGGAAAGGTAGGGTTCGCCATACGAATGACGAAGGAGCTGGATGGTGGCAGCCTCTGGAAGATCAGGGTATTTACTTGGGGAGAGATGCTTGGACATATCTGGATGTTGTTTTTGGTTCTTTCGGATAGACTGACGGGGAATATATTGATGGAATGGATCGCTGGGAATGGAGCAGTGGTCGTGCGCATGTCGGATGGCAAACATCAGTCCGGGTTATGGATGAGAAAGGGGCCGGAGGGGGCGCAAGGCGTTTGGGGTTTGGCATATCGATAAGGCCGAAGCGAGATGCGGACAGGCAGGTTGATTTTGGAGATCGGCTTTGGACTTTTGAGGGTTTGGTGGCATAGCCCATAGACTATGTCCTTTGAATGTATGTATTAATTTCTATTCACCCCTGATCGGCTGTGGTAAGACGTCAAGATTGTTCTTGTAGAGTCCAATATACCTGCGTCATCGGGCTACGGTTGGTCCTCGGTATGCGAAGTACCTGGCTCGCTGGCCCCGGATCATCGTCTCTCATCATGTGGATAGGGATCGTCCGACCATGGCCCATGGACAACCTCGTGGTCGGGTCTGGTGCTTGAAAGGCTCGGGCATTGGTGAGGTGGAGGTTGAGGGGACCCCTTGATACAGAGAAGCGGGACTTGTTGGAATGATTGGTCCGATGAGACGATGAACGGGGATTGGCATTAATGCAGCATGCGGGATGGTAGGTGGGTGGCAGTGGGTGGATGGATGGATGGTGAGCAGCTGTGGCTTGTTGTCGCTTTTTTCACCTGCAAACTGCGCTCGCAAAATCCACGACCTGGAAATCGCATGTGAAAGATTGAATTCCTGTAGCATCATCCATTGCATTGCTCTCAGCCTTCTGTCACCATCTCCTCTCTGTCGACCTGTACCAGAGATTGAGAAGGCTCCATAGCCACTACTGTCTTCATCCTCACCTCATCTTGTTCGCTACACCTCATGACTGCCGCCTCTTACCGTATTTTGCCAGCTTCTCGGCCCGTTGTCCAGCCCGCGTCAACACTTCCCAACAGATCCTCCAACTGTCTCTCAGGCTTTCTTTCAACTTTACCCGCAACCTGCGTTCTCGACTCCATGCGGTCTACCGTTTGACGGCTGCTGTCTCCTCCTTTCACCTCGTCGTCTGTACCGAAAAAGCCTTCCTTCGTTATCTCACCCTCACTTCAACATCGATCCTCCGCGCCATCTAACCAACCCGCGCAACGACACCTTTCTACCTTACACAACACATTATCTCCTGGCGGACAATCACTGGTTATCTCTCACAAGTCTAGGCTGCCTTAGAGCAGCCTAGGAGAAGAGGTGGAGGCGTCGCGTGATTGATGTTGGCGATTCAAAGAATGTCGTCCCATGGCGGACAACAGAACTTCCCTTTCGGCTGTACGGCCTACACCTTTCCTATCAATCCCTCTACCTACTTTCCCTTCTTTGAAGATTCATTTGCTTACGTCTACTCCCCAGACCAACCTGAAAATCTTCATGGGATTGGTTTACCCGAGTTTATGACCCCAGGTCCTCCCCCAGGCCAACCTTTGCTCAATGCACATGAAAATCAAGATCTGGACAACTTCTTCCAGGGCTTTGATCAGAATGCTGCTGCCAACAAAGTCCTTACGCATGCTCAATACAATCCCCGCACCGATCATGACCAGTTCTTTGACATGCCGCCAACATTCGTTGGCTCGGACACTGCGCTGGCACAGCGGTCTATCATCGACCAGCATCAGCTAACAGGAGCTGGGTTTCCGTACGGTGATGGCTTTTTGGGACATGACATGACCACGGTCTCACAGACAAATCCGCTGGTCGGCGGAATGCACGGCGTTTCATACAATGATACTACATTCCCAAATCCCCTCATGGCTCAACTGCAGTCAGCCGCATCGATGCAACCGGCCTACACCCAAGGATGGCAACAGCCCTATCCACCTCCGACTGCAGTCAGGATACCACCAGCAGGCCGTCTAGACATGTCTTTCGGCTCTGATTCTCGGTTTCAACCTAGTGGCTATGCTGCTCCTCATAATCCCATGGATCCTGACCTGCCGCAAGGACTACAGATGAACAACCCCATCGGCGAATGGTTGGAGCCGGCAAGCGGAAGCACGACCCAGCCTAACACGCAGCCAAACACACAGCCGTCGAGTCCGACGTGGTCAAAGAAGAGAAATTTTGATGATTTCATCAGAGATCAACCTCGCAATGGCTTGATTGCCTCGATTCCACAAGCTAGCATGGTGCAACCCGCTCCACCGCAATCTGGTTCTCGGAGGAAGCGCTCTGTTGTCAAAAGCGAAACAAGAACTTCAATATCCCAGCCTCCAACACCGCTATCCAGTAGCAAACCACAAACCCCCCTCAACGCCGGAAATTCAGGAATGGGCGAACAGGAGCCAGATACCGACGTGGAAGCCGAAGGGGAGGACGAACACGACACTGCAGAACAGTCCAGATCACCTTCCCCAGCACCTTGGCCCGCATCGAAAGCTCGTCCACCTCGAAATACAAAGGTTCCTCCACTTAAGCCCTCCCGAAAGAAGAAGGTGAATGCAAGTGGATCAACGCCAATCAAACCCAAGTCAAAGGTCCATCGTCCCAGTATCACTTCTACCCGAGTGCCACTCAGTGTTGAGCAAAAGAAAGCCAATCACACGAACTCGGAGCAACGACGTCGGGATGCAACTGCCCGTGCTTACGCGGAATTGTACGACTTGGTCCCAGAACTTGAAGAAATGGGGAAGCAGAGTACCATGAAGAAGCTAGAGGTTGTCGTGGCCAAAGTGCAGCGCGTAAAGGAACGGGTTGAGGAACTAAGGGCAAAGGTCGGACTGGACTCTGTGACTGGGAGGCCAGTCAGTGGTCCAGGTGGAGGATCAGGGATGCTCTTGTTCAGCGACGTTGTTGACTGGCACCAATGACCGGTCAGGGGCAACGAAAGCACTCTTGCTGGACCAGTGCAGTCCCGGCCGTGTACCTTCACCATGAGCGATCAATGGACCACAGGACCATGCCAGAAGTCCGATACTCGGAAGGCCAGAGTCGGACCACGCACCTGGCAACCAAATGGAAGTGAACGAGATGACGACCGCTTTACGATACGAATTTCAACCAGTGCAAAATCACTTTGCGTTACATACTTTATGCCCTTTATTCCACTTCTTCAAAGATACCCACTTGAATTTACCCAAACTTTTGACGACGAAAATGGCGCGTTGGACAAGACATGGACCGCCAAGGGTGGATTGCTGATTACTGATTACGAGACTCTTTTATCAATCTTGAAAAGGAACAAAAGAGCACCAAAAGAACAAAAAAAGTGCCGTTCTGCCCTCAAGGAAGACGCACGGAAAAAAAGGCCCAAGCCAACCCCCTTGCAACATCTTCCCAGAGCCCTTGCGAAGAGGTTAGAGGGTGTGTGCTCACACAGAGGCTCTGCTTCATTTCAACCAATATGTCCGCCACACCAACTACACAAACAACAGGGCAAGATATGAAAAATGGTTAACAATCAATGGAATGTGAATGAACACGGGTCATCAAATCTTGGACATTATCAAGAAGAACCGACACCAACACCGACACACCCAGGAAGACAGCACGAACATCTTTGTTTCCCCCCTGCAAGTTACATCATCTCAGAGAGCTGGCTGGCACTATGTGAACATGATCGTCTTCCATCTTCCGTTAGCCCTGCAAGATCCTCGGAAGGACCAAGACAAATACTAGTATTGTACAAACAGTCGAATCGGAACCCTGACCGAGGTTCAAAATAGACACGATAGTACGACAGCACGATAGCGTCTCACTCACATTCCCAAAGAAAAACTCCATTTTGTCCTCGTAGGCCGTAGCTCGAATGATTTATTTACTTGAAACGACCGGACCCCATGACGGCTTCTTTTGTCCCCGATACATCCCATCCCATCCTATCCCGCCCAATTTTTCCGCGAGAGTTGGAAAAACCGCATCACACGTCCCAGTGCAGTCTCTGGCATCTTTCTCGGAGGACTGTTGCGAGGGCTCCAGCGTCGCTGTCTCCGGCTCCGGCTCCGGCTCCTGCGGTCGCGGTATTCATCATGGCAAGGACGTCCGCGACGGCCACGGCTTTCCTCGCCCAGAACTGCGGCAGCGTAACCATCTCACCACTGCTACTGCTGCTGCTGCTGCTGCCTTGATTTTTGTTCTTGTTTTTGTTGTTTTTGTGTTCCGGGATATGCTCGTCGTGGTCGGCTGGTGCAGAGTCCGAGGCTGATCCTGACGCCGCCGGTAGTGGTAGTGGTGACGCGTAGAGATCGATGGCGAGATTGAATAGCGTGACGGCCAGCCACTCCAGTTCTTCCGGCGGGTAGTCATTCCCGCCGGCGGCAGCAGGAGAAGCAGCGGACGTTGCCAGATCCAGGGCATGCTCGGTGATTCTCACCACGGTGCTCAGATTCTTCTCCTCGGTCCGGCGGCGGCCGTTTTGTTGTTGTTGTTGCTGCTCGGACTCGGCTTCGGACTCGGACTGACACTGATTTTGGGGTCGCGAATCTCGCCGGCGGTCGAGAACGATTTGAACCATACACCTCATCCATCTCGCAGCCCGGTTGCTGTCGTAATCCGAGTGGTTTCGCAACCCGGATATCAACTTCGCGAGCAGATTCGTCGTTGTCGAGACTGGCAGTGGCACAGGTGGAGTCGAAGACTCTGGCCCGGACGGCTGGGACGGCTCGGTAGACTCGAGGCCGCTCATGGAGGCGGAGAGGATCATGCCGGCGAAAAGCGAGTACGTCTTCTGCGGCGGGTTTAGGAGTACCATTTGGTCCACCATTTCAGAAAGCGAGAAATCGTGTTGAACCGGGGTTGGGCCAGAAACATCTGCGGTACTGGTACCCACGAGGAAGAGCAGTGCTTCGAACGCCAGGGGTGTCAAGACAATGAGTTTCTGCGTGATCCCCTCGAGAACCTCCTGCTCGATGAGGCCTGTACTGGAGCCCTCACGTAAGGCGTTCAGATGATTTCGAATTTCCGAGTACTTGGCAAAGACATTTCTGTACAAAGTAGACTTGATTTCTATCGGCGAATGTGGTGGTGCCTTTCCCGAATAAGCCGTCTTAGGAATGTCTTCTTCTGTCGACAACGTAGCTGCCGACCTCGCCTGGACAGTGTACAAGATCGCTTGGATGTACTTTGCACCAGTCTCGTGGATGTGCTTCTGATATTGAACCTGGCTTGGAGCATGCGTGGGCAAGTGCATCTGGATGGGTGGGGAATCAGTCGGAGGGAACGAAAGACGTAAGGACATGTAAACACCTACCTGGCACGAATAATGCAAAAGGTCAATGACATATTTCGTCGGCCATGACTGGAGGTATTGCACGGCAGTGTTGTAGCTGGTCTTCTCCAACCACCTGCTTTCTTGTAGTTGATGTTCCATGGTCGTTTCTTCGCTAAGCTGTCGCTTTTGCGTAAAGGACACCGCTGGTCTGTGTCAGTCAAGGTCACTTTGTGCTCTTGGGTCTCGCACCGGACTTGAAGATGCCGCATAACCGAGACAGAAGTTCTTCATCGAGGTCGTCGGCTTCTGAAACTGCTAGAAGGAGAAGGCGAGCTGTACATCTTCTCAAATTAACAAAAGGGCGATACATTGTGTGGTCCTGTCTTACCTCAGAAGGGCAGATGCATCTATTTCCGGTGGCAGATTGTCTTTGTATTTGTCCAGAATGCGCTGGAGGAGTTGCGCCCCCTGTAATTTGCTACCATATTGCGTTGCTTCTGCAACGGCGGCAAACAAGAGCTTGTTCCGGTCATCATGGACCGTGGCGAGAGAGGCCAGTGTTGATCTCGCTGTCCAGATATTATTCTCATGGATTGCACGGCTATCGGCAGGTGGTCTTACCGTCAGCTTCGTCCCCACGCCGCAGAGCCAGACAGTATCGCAGGTATCGAGAAAGGGGATGCTGTTTTCTCGCTGGCGACATCGTTTCGAGGGCTGCAAAAGCAGCTTCAAAGTCGCGGAGATCGATCTGACATTTGACTATTCTCCTGAGACCAAATACCGATGAGTGACAAGACGGAAGAGACGTGATAACTCTCACACCTTTCAATTTTGCCCACGTTCTGATCTCCAGCTTTGCTAAACAGTTGATGCAATGCAACCCGGCACCATTTAATAGTGATCTCTTTCAATCCGTGGTCGAAGGTATGCTCGATCCGCTTCCAGAAAAGCTGTATTGTCAGCAGGATCTCTGTTCATAGCAAGATCGAGACGTACAATCAATGCACCATGGGTAGCCTCTGCACTGAGAGCTTTATTCCAGGCTCGGTAGATCTTCTCGAATGTCCCTTGAAGGGACAGCATGTCGACGCTGCTCTGGCCCTCGCTTTCTGCTGTTATGAGCCAGATCAATGTGATGATGGCCTTTTCAGTCCATTCGTGTTCGTCGCTTGAAGCAAGTCTCAAGACAATGTACGACTCCAATACTCGGATTGCGTGTGCGGTACTGAGTTCGATCAGCTTAACTCCTTCATTACTTGCCGTTCATACCTCAAAGATTTTAGATGATGCACATAGTGCAAGATTCTAAAGGCCATGAGCAAACACTCACCGTGATCCTGAAGGGCTAACTCACAGCTTATGATTTGAGTGGATCAGGTGAGCCGATCGGACAACGCTCAATAAATCTTTGTAAATCAGAGAGAATCATCGTCAATTTCAGTGGGAAATGGTCTTACTAGCTGAGAAGGCGTCCGCATTGGTACATGAGTCTTTTGCAGCGACCTCTAATTGTAGCAGGATGACGGGAAGCCTGTGGCCGTACTCCTAAAAGCGTTTAACTTTCGTTCACACTCTCATTCAGAATCAGGATACTTACCTCTCGAAGGACCTGGAGGAGTTGAAAAGCCTCCTGTCCGGCTTCCCCCTCCTCAAGTGCTAAAAGAGCCCGCACTGCTGAACGCATGAGTGTTGTCGGAAACGTGAACAAGAGAGATTCCCACCGCAAGTATGTATGAGGGTAAGCCTTAGATCCAAGACATCCGCATCTTCACCCTGCATTCCAGGTTCATTTGTGAGCTGGCAACCCCTTCTGAGCCATTGCGCAGCGACAAGGTATTTTTTCTGACCGAGCTGATCGTTGCCCATCTCGTAGCATAGGTCAAGTGCTTGTCCAATCCGAACGGAATCCAACTGAGATTTGGATGCCTCGAATTGGCTGTAGAAATGCTCGGCTAGCTCTATTCGCCCTTGTTTCCACGCCTGTTTCTTTAGTTCATGCCCGCCAAACGGCTGTAGTGTACACAGACCAGTGTGATGCGCATCAACAAGTACTGTGCAGTCAAGCTTCCATTTACTTTTTCGATATCGAGGTCATCGTGACTGGCTCTTTGAAGGAGATCTTCCGATTTGACAGCCAGCTGTTCAATGACCTTGGAGGCGAGGTCAACCAGGCCAGCATCTACCGAGAGGATGATTGTCAGGCAAAGTGATACCAACAGCCCAGAGTACCCTACCAAGACAGCTTCTGCTAGCTCTGAGTGCGATTTGAAATAGTCGATGTTGGCCTGTAGTTGAGTAAGTTGAATTCAGAGTCTGGGACGCAATGTGTGCACTCTTCCATCTCGAACCCGCTGAACTTTCGAGGAGGAGATACGAGAAGACTCGGACTGGGGCATCGGTCAGATGTGGACATCTGGGAGGTTGATGATAATCACCCCTGGCCAGGTTGACGGGCAGCTGCGGACATCCTTCGCCCCGACTCAGTCTGCAGCATGTGTTCCAGAGAGCAACACCTCTGCGATCGAACTCTGTCCGCTGGCCTGGAGTGAGCGCTTTGCGTGGGAGAGGGAGGGCTTCCAAGTAGATTGAAATGTCAGGAAACTCTTCAGCTGAGACGGTCACTCCTGGGTTGACGACGGTTTCAAGGTGGGAGGTGAATTCTAATTCATCATCAGTCAGTTCCCTAGCGAGACTGATGGCGAACACACCAAGAATGGATCCGGCCGTACTCCGTTGCTCCTTGGGCAACATTTGAGAGATCCGGACCGCACGTAAGAGGCGTCGAACATACACCCGTGGAAAGTCAATGGGCTTTCAGTTATGAGAGGGAAGAAGAGCGTGGCTGGCACGTGATTTCATCACCCGCAGTCTTCTCAAGGCCTGCTGCTAACCAAGGTGTAGTGTACTTGGAAGATACTCAAACATCGTAACATTGCATCATCTGAGGCTGCTATACACTAAAACAGAGGTCCTGTACTTCAACGTTTCCCAGGACTCATGGGCAAGAAGTTGCCCACAATCAGCGAGGGTCTGTGTTGAATGTCTTAGCGAGAGGGAACAGCTACCAGGGTGGCGATGCTTACATATTGTGATTATCTCTTCGAATGGTGAAAGAGAAACAGCAGTGAATGTCCACGATGTCAGCGCCTGCCGTGGGACAGCGTAGTGTACAGCTGGTGAGCATAGCCTTTTGCTGCTGGTCGAAGCAAATGGCACAGAACTTCTCCCAGTAGCTGACCAGCTGGTCTTCGACTATGATCTCGTGGATGGCAAGCTTTCCCTGTATGCTACTATCAGTTCCTAGTCACAGCCGACCGATTGGATCTTTCACTCACATCACGAAGTGATTCGATGGGTACCTGAATCAACTCTGCCATCTCCTTGTTTCCTCTGAAAATTTCGCCCGTCCTTCTCCAACAGCAGGCTGGAATGGCCATGCTAGCGAAAATTCTGTCGTACTCCATCAAACTCCTTTCAAACCACATCTCCACCAGAACCAATTCGATATCAGTCAAGCTCTGCATCCTCTCTCTAAATTTCGGCCGGAACTGGTCCAATTGCATCAAGATCTTGTGACGCGAATGTGGCTTCATGTTCTTTTCCATGTACTTGTTGAGCCGGGCATATCCATTCACGTAATTGAAAGGTCGTAACATTCCTGCATCGTATTTTGCTTTGAGTAGCTTTTGCATGCGCTCCTCCGGAGGTTCAGCGCCCGTCGGATCGGCAGCCATCATGTAATACTTTTCTCGCGCTTTGTCCGATGCTGGCTTTACACTCGACGGCCTAGATATCAGCGCTGCTTGAGCCGCGTTGTTCTGAGTAGTTGCATGGACGCTGTTGACGTGTTCTTGCGAAAGGATGGGTTCGACTCCGGAGGTCGGGAAAGAAGAAGCTGCCATCGAGTTCATGAACGAAGGATCATTGAAGGGACCCTGGAATTCATCAGTGGAATACATTCCGGTCTCTTCAAATAGGCTGTTGCTGAGGAAGTCGTTTAGCAGATTGAATTCATCAGTGACCTCGTTTGCGTTGAACATATAGTTGGGATGAAAGGCCTGCATATCATGAAATCGATTCTGGACTCCGGTCCATGGATCATTATAACTGAAGTCTGCACGGCATTAGGGACGACTGCTTTCCCCTCAAAGATTGAGACACACTTACGGGGGTGAGCATTACCATTGATGCCAGCGTTTGGTGCAGCTGCGCTCGGATTAGAGACGGCCATGGTGTCATTTGTGGATGGTCTCAGTCCAATATTATCCTCCTGCAGTAGATTAGGAGCAGAGTCGTCCATCAATGCGGGACCTGGTAAGCTTGGAGCCGTAGGAAAATCATCCCGTGGAGGAGACTGCTCGTCCGGCCCAGCAGTGTCTGAGTCGGTCTTGGACTTTTTGTGATAGCCATGTCCCTCTCTTGGTTCGTCATGACACAGGTGGCCGATGTTTCTCTTGATGCAGCGTTTACAAGGTCGATCCTGAGACACAGTTCCCCAATGGGAGGGTTGCGTTAGCCAAACAGGACTTGAGTGGATGGTGTTGAGCTCGACATTGAGCGCCAGGGAGTCGTACAGAATCGCAAGTCATATGCTGTGTATCCCACCAAAAACAAGCAGTCAGCCCATACTATGTCTTGCCATGTCCTCGAATCTCGGTACTTCCACGTCTCAGAGGTCAAAGGAGCTTACCGAACGGCGACAATATACGCATGCTGAAGAAAGATGTCAGTGTGGGCCATCGCTAAGACTGCATGGAGCGTGTACAGACCATGGTTCACCTTGCGCTTCTTCTTTGGCTGATCAGTGGAAGGCGACGTCTGGTTCGACTTGCGGGGCGCAGTTGGCGAAGTGGCTTCGTGTACTCTGTTGTTTGGCAGCGAACCCCGATTGTCGAAGGAGTTGTTCATGTCACTGCCTGCACGGTCAGGCTCATCTGCGAGATCTGACATTTGCCGACAAGTTGTAAATCGGACGGTGGTTCAAGGATCGAAGAAGAGAGCGTGGGCAAAGCTGCGTGCAACGCGATCGCAAAGACTCATGGTCTGCAAGAAACGGCGCAGGATATCTTTACGTGAAACTGTGCAGAGACACCAAGCACAAGATCAACCAAAAATTCAAGAGCAGAGGAAATCTGCATGCGAAACCGTTGGTAGAAAGTAAGAGCCTCGGGCCCCAGCTCACCAGGCACAACATAATAAGTGTTCCAGGCCGGTGCCGGAAGGCTGGGCCCTGGAGTTGGATTCCCGTCGTGGGAGCCTGCGGCGAGACGGAAACCCCGCAATCGCTTTGACGGATCCGAGCGCAAAATAAGTGGCACAGTCTGACAAGAAATAGTAATGAGAAGCCATTCACTATTGACTCAAAGATAACTACCACTAGGCATCATGGCACCCCAATCCTCCTTAATTTAGAGGGCATCTACTTTCTGTCAGACTGCCATTTTTTTCACTCCCAAAGCTCGACAGGAAGCACGGGTGAGTGGAGCCGTGCGTGCTTCCTGCAGCCCATGGATTGTGCCTGAGCCAGACGGGCGGTTCTCGGCCTCCAGATTGAGAGCTATGTATGGAGTAATTATTATTTTGGGTATCGTACGGATTAACGATGGCGAGAGCATCGTTGCAGTGCTCTTACATCGAAATAGTGGTAAGCTCCCCTTGGACTAGTTTTACAGATGGTTTCTTTCTTTCTCGTCTCCTGCCCATGGTAAAATATAAAGACCCGAGACTACCCCTCGAAAGTGAGCCTGGAAAGGAGCAGACATCAATGCACCGGGCACCCACCGGGTAGACATGTTGATCGTAAACGTCGCTAAAGTTGAACCGTCAAAACGTCATTATTTGGTGGAAAACAGCGAAGAAGGGCCGGTTAAATGTTGACGCTGGGGCGCATCCTCTTCCTGCCTTTGGTGCCTCCCGGAGTACCCTCCTCCTCTCGCTCTCTGGCTCTCTTCTCCCGCTGATCCAGCACCAGACTCAGAACGTCGAAGCCAAACTGTGGGTACTCCAGACACATTGTCTTGAATTCGTTCTCGGCTTCGTGGCGCAAAACGTGTGACCGGGTGGCCCAAAACGCAGCAACAGGCCTGCGGATGGTGACATCGTCCGAAGGTGTGTTGCTATAGACAAATCGTGCGTATGCGATCTCCCCCACAGCGGTCGAGTTGATGCGATGTATCTTTGAATGCGCTAGTGTCTTGAGGTCAGGCAACCCAAGCTTCTGAGCCAGCGTGTAGACGCGCGCATGTTTGAGAAGCTGTGCGCCGGTGTTGTCAATGGCCGGGACTGAAGGATCAGGTTCCAGTCCGTCAGGCGAGTCTGCGAGGCGTCGAGGGAAGTATTCGCCGGTATATTGATATTGGAGGAAACACCCCACTGCATCTAGCGACTCATCAGGCAGCTCGACCACGAGAGAGTCGTCGTCAAGACTCGAGAGTATCTCGCTGAAATAGGGCGACTTTTGGAGGATGGCTTTGTGGGCAGTCAAGGTAGTCTCCTCATCGCCGGTGCCCACATTCAGCTGGACGATAGGTGACTTGAGGTACTCGAGAAACATGGTTTGAGGATTGGTGGTATTGCCATTGGCGATCTGCGTGTCATTGCCTGCGTCTTCCCCTCGCGCGGCGGCCTTGTCATCTTCCACCTCTTGTGTCTCTTCCATGATCTCCATGTCCACGTCAGCTGCACCTGACTCGCCTATCTGTGGGTTTTCTTCACCATCGGCCATGAGGTTTGCGATCGGAAGGAATTGGATAGGTTTTTGGCGGAACCGGCGTACTTAGAAAGCTGTGTGGAATGCACCAATCATAGAGCAGTTAGCATATAAAATGTGACGGAATTAAGGAGCGAGGAGTGAAAAAGATGCAAAACGAATGAACAAAAGGATGGTGTTGAGCGTGGTGGAGGAAGAGGCTGGGAGACGAAAAGGTCGTGGAGCTTGTTACTCCTTGGAGTCTTTGAACCACAGCTGTAATTAATGAGTGACAGTCAAATCCGTGCGCCTGGACGGCCGACCACTCTATTCCATTTAGTAGGCGGCGAGTTCTTTGGGGACAATTATCTTGCGGTGGGATGGTCCTCTCGACCACTCCAGCCAGCTTTGTCCTTTTCGGGTTGTCGTCAGGCTGCCCTCGAGAATGCCATCTGACCATGGCGAATCACGTGATTTAGACACTCGCTCTTATCTGGCACTGCGCATTGGGAATGTCCTATGTCAATGGTATACGAAATAAAAAAACCAGCAGGGTTTGCTGCGGTACCTGGACAATAAATGTGTCTCAGTACAAAGAAGAGCACAACTGTGATCCAACATAAGCGAACAATTCCTGGTGGAGGATGACCAAGGCAGAGCCGCAACGAGCACTCGATACTACGTACTTTGTATGGAGTACAAGGGGGTAGGCCTGTGCTCTAGAGTCCATCTATCAATGACATAGAAAACACCCATGGCCCTATGGGAATGAAGGCTATTGGGTCCTGAGTAGTAAGTGTCCATGTCTCTCGCTGAAACCCAATCTCCAGCAATGTGTGGAGAGAGGGAGCAAAGCCATGCCTTTTTGAACATTTGGGCGTCAAAGGTCCTATGATGCGAATCAGGTGAAGACTCAAGATGGACGTTGAAATAATTGTCTGCTAGTTCAAGCAAGGGATGTAATAAAAATCAGGGGGGTGACCCATCGACTTGATGGAGGCTTCACGTGGTTGATAAGGATCGTTTTCCACAGTCTAAGACATTCTGGACTCGAATACTTGTAGAAAGACACTGATTGGGCAGAGAGGGAAAAGGAACGCGGGGAGCAAAAAGGGTCCAGAACAAACTTGCTCGAGGCCAAGGCTGCGTGCGACGTGCGAGGCTGACCGATCAACAACTCCATGGCTCAGATTACCTCCGTGCCTCGTCAATAAATGCATAAAAACCTATTTTAGTACCGGGCGTTCGAGTCCTGGCAACACAAAGTACTTGCTAGGTCCGAGTTTGCCAGGAACTTCATCTATCGGTGTCTTGGTCGCTCGTCGGCCTCCGTGCAGCGTGGTGACCGGGCGTCCAATTTGTGATACTATGGTTGATGGCAGAGCTCAAAGCAGTAAATCCCTTCCCCTCTGTCCTTTTTTTCTCCCGTGGCACAGTCCTTCCAATTTCCGTACCCCGTATTCTTTGACTTTGCACTTGTGACACTGAGTTGGGCATACGAAAGTCCGACCAAATACAACCAATGGCGGATCTTATCAAAGCAGATCGAAGGGGGGTTAATGAACTGAAGGAGCAACTCAGGCGACCGAATAGAGTTGGGGGTCTGCATTTGTGGGAACAAGGGTCGCGTACAAGGGATACGAGTTATGTTAGGGGTCACGGGGGCCGAGGAGCGTTTGATTGGGGGGCCTGCTCCCCTCGCACGGCCACCACTCGTTAGCCTTGCCCTTACCTTGCCCACAGGGAAAATGATAGTTGATTAGTGTCCTGCAGCCGTGCATAGGCGAGTCAACCCGTGGCCGTCCCAAAAGAACCCCTAAGCGACCCCTTGCCCTTTTCAGGCACTTTCTGCCCAAGTTCAATGTTCCAAGCTCACCAAGTCACCTTGGGCATCTGGAGATAGCGACCAAGGCGATGATCGGGGAATCCGGCGCCATCCAATAATGCCAACGATAATTCCCGAAGCCACGAAATTAAGTGCCTATGTAACAGTGTCTTATCATGGACGTTGCTTACTACTGCGACAAGCATCCAACGAGGTCGGAGATTTTGTACACCGCCTACACTTGTCCATAAGTGGCAAACAATGGCGTGATCGAACTCTAGGATGTTGTCATTTCAGTCAAGCATCTTGAGAGGATCTCAATGATGCCTTCGCACGTTAATATTATGTTATTCTCGCCTTTGTAACCGCGGAGCCTCTCCATCTTCGATTCACTTCGTCATCCTGTTATATACACTTTGGGGTTTCTTCCATCATGGGGATTTTTCTTTCGCCTCCCTGAGCCCCTTCTTACCCGAATTCCCGGTCGGTGTGTCCTTTTTCCAAGACTTTTTGATAGATGCTGCATCCTCGAAAAAAAAGGGAGGCTGACTGCGACATGGCAAACGCCTCTCTGTCAGCCCTCTCTCTGGCTCTCTGAGCAATCACACAGACTGACGGCCTTACCGCCTTACAATCCACGGTCCATGGTCCACGGATGCTAGTTCACGTCGGCCAGATTGAATGAATATCATCGTCCCCACATACGCCATACCGGGATCAGTAAACCTTGTGGGTAACTGCAGCCTGCAGCTCCAAATTCTTTTTCGAAACCACAGCCGTTCGGTGCCAGTCGCTCCGGATTCACTTTGTTTTTCCCTCGCGTTTTGCTCGCGACCTCCCCTTTGGGTCAGTACCATTTTTCTTCCCTTTGCATCTTTGACCCGACTCTGGTCCTCCCCTGCTCTGGGTTTCCTTCTGTCATTCCTTCCAATTCCTTGTTTAGGGTAACTGGCCTTGTGACCCTCCTCCTCCTCCTCCACCCCAGGAAATCTCACCCTTACCCCCCTCGTTCTCATAACTATAACTATCCACTTCCCGCCCTTACACATTTTTCATATTTTACTCTCTTCTTCCATCCGGGCAACGAGCATTCAAGCAGACAAAACCCAGGTTCTCTGCTACAATCGTGAACAACAAAGTATTGAAATCACTGCGATCATGGGTTCCTTCAATCCTTTCCCTCAATCCCCTCCAGTGTCGCCTCCCAATGGCTACCAAGGCGTCGAAGGCTTCTCGACGCCTCTGTTTCCGGCCAAGCCGAATATCCTCTTCATCATGGCCGACCAGCTTGCTGCTCCGTTGTTGAAGATGCACAATCCAAAGTCCCAGATCAAGACGCCGAATCTCGACAAGTTGGCGGAACGCTCGGTGGTTTTTGACTCGGCGTATTGCAATTCCCCGCTGTGTGCGCCGTCTCGCATGTGTTTGATCAGCGGTCAACTTCCTTCTAAGATTGGTTCGTACGACAATGCCTGCTCCATTCCGTCTGAGACGCCGACCTACGCACACTATCTGCGAGCTGCTGGCTACGAGACCACTTTGGCCGGCAAGATGCATTTCATCGGAGATCAGCTCCATGGCTACGAAAACCGTTTGACTGCCGACATCTACCCTGGTGATTTCGGCTGGGCGGTGAATTGGGATGACCCAGGCCGAAGACTCGAGTGGTACCACAATAGCAGCTCCATCTTGCAAGCTGGGCCGTGTGTGAGGACCAATCAGCTGGACTACGATGAGGAGGTCCTGTATAAGTCGAAACAATATCTTTACGATTATGCCAGGTCCCCTCCCGGGAAACGACCATTCGCCCTGACAGTTTCCTTCACCCATCCTCATGATCCATACGCTATCGAGGAAAAGTATTGGGATTTGTATGAAGGTGTCGACATCGATTTGCCCAATGTGTCCATCTCTGAGGAAGACCAAGATCCACACAGTCGACGCTTGATGCATGTCTGCGAGATTGAGGGCCACAAATTCACAGACGAGCAGATCAAGCGGGCTCGCCGGGCATATTATGGTGCTGTGAGCTACGTTGATGACTGTATTGGCCAACTGCTTGACGTTTTGACCAAGTGCGGCATGGAGGACAACACCAGTAAGCAACGAGCTCCGTTCACAATTGTAAAAGTATTCCACTGACTGACATGAAAATAGTTATCATGTTTTCCGGTGACCACGGAGACATGCTGGGCGAAAGAAGCCTCTGGTACAAGAGTGAGTTCGCGTCCTGGTTTTGGCGATTAGTCTTGAGTCCGAGATAGCTAACAGACTCTGAAGTGTCGTACTTCGAGAATTCCGTCCGGGTACCTATGTTGATCAGCCATCCGAAGCAGTTCCGTCCTCACCGCGTGTCACAAAATGTCTCGACTCTGGATCTCATGCCAACCCTCGTGGACTTGATTGGATCCAAGCTGGTTCCCGGATTGCCCATGGATGGTCTGTCCCTGTTGCCTCACCTCTACGGTGGTGACGGTGGCCATGATACGGTCTTCGCCGAGTATATGGGCGAGGGAACTGTAGCACCCCTGATGATGATCCGAAGAGGCGCCTGGAAGTACATCACATGTCCAGTTGATCCACCTCAGCTATACAACCTCCGAAACGACCCGCTGGAAGTGACCAACCTTGCCACTAGTCAAGACCCAGGAACGCAGGCTGTCTTCAAGGCTTTCGAAGCAGAAGCCAGTAAAAAATGGGATTTCAAGAAGATCACCGAGGACGTCCTCAGGTGTCAGCGCCAACGTCGACTAGTTTGGTCCGCCTTGACTCAAGGTCGCTTTGAAAGCTGGGATTGGAATCCCATCGACGATGGCCGCGTCAAGTACATCCGTTCTCAAACCCCCTTGGATGAGCTCGAGCGGCGAGCTCGATATCCCATGCACTCAAACGTACCCGCCCAAATTTCCGTCAACAACAAGGCTGAAGTAGTCTGCCTCCAACCGAAGAGGCTGACCGAAATCGCCAGCGAAGCTGTCCACTATCGCTGAATCACACAAGCACTTGACCACGACTTCGTTTTGGATGCTGATTTGGCTGGCGTTCTGATCCCAAGTCTACACTTGTTCAGGGTGGCGTGCTCGCAAGCGTGGGGTTACGGAGTCGGTATTTCGTCCTCCCTGCTGTTTCTGTGTTATGGATGTCTTTCCTCTGTGGCAATGCTTTGCTTCTCCAGGTTCTCGATTACACTATGCTAATGGAGTTTCCACGGACTGGGGTCCGACTTGTGTATGACCTTGATATTGAAATGATCGGGAGGAGGAATGGAGCCGGCATGGGGCGTTGGTATTGCTGATGTGCAATTGCAATTGCCCAACTCAACCGAAGATCGCCCCCTCATTGCGACCACTACCCCTTGGATTGAGGATAGTGAGGACGAGTGAGGGTGATTCACGGCTTGGACAAGGAGGCTATCTAGCTAAGTACAGAGAAAACCCCAAAAAAGGAAAAAAATCAAAAAGGGCCAATATTGACCACAACCCATTTGTGCGATTCCCTGTATCAGGCAGGAGCAGCTTCAGCTTCAGCGTCACTTTCCTTTTTACTCTTCTGACTCGGTGCACTTTGTTCTGTGACCATTGCCCAGCCCTTCTCACCTCACGTCACATCCCACCCATCGCTGCGTTGGCCTGCGCTAAAGTTGCTTTTTCTTCCTCCTTCTGCTGGGCTTATTTCCTTCTTCCCTCTGGTTTGTTATGGTTGACCTTACCTGACTTGCGCAGCACCATGCATATCCTTGTGGATACGATGATGGCAACAGCTCCACAGCTTTTGTGGGCACGTTGCCAATCCGAACATTTGGTGGGAATCTTGAGGCCGTCTAAAGGTGAGTAAATAGCCACCGCATCGAGATCATCCTTTCACTGACTCAACCAAAGGACCGCCGCAGCCATTAGCATCCACTCTGCTGTGGTCCGTCAAATCGAAACAGTGCGTGCGGCAGGCTCCTCGTCTCCGGAGCGCTCGGTCTCGACCATTGTGCTACCGCCAGCACAATGCAACACCGGCATACCCTATTACCACATCTCCAGAGACCTACACGAGCCTACGCAGCCACATTGACACGCTTCGGCACAGGCCTGCCTACGCCGGAAAGCCGATATGGGGTTGGGAAGTCTAGTCATCTAGCTAGGAATCAAAGAGCGAGTCAAGGTTATTAGGCGCCGGACAGCGGGCTTTTCCCCGTCATACGAGGAAGGACCGTCATCCTCGTCACGCGGCGTTCGGACTGTACTGAACCGCAGTCCCAGTGAGACATGACCATATCCCTGACAGCAATGGCAAGGACGGAGGTGCTCGCCGTGGACCGAGAAGGAGAAGGATCCTACCAGCACATACACGGCGCACAGTCTTGAACAAGGTCAAACGACCCATGAATGTCTAAGAGCTAAGTGCCAATTGAAGATCCAATCAGAGTGCCCACATACGCTAACTCGAATCAGGGCATAGAATCCATGTGGAACTAACTGACGAGACTAACTGGAGAGGAACTGACAGAGTTGCTAAGCTAGACCGAAGTCTTATCAGGATTGCCACTTGTTCGTTCTGCCGGTCGAAGAGCCCTTTGCTCGGCGTCCAATGCGTCGGAGGTGCAAGTTTGGGACCATCTCCTGCACCGCGACATGTGAAGCTGTGGGCCAGGATGATTTACAACTCGTGTATCTCTGCTTCACAGGCTGCAAAGGAATATATGACAAGGGAGGCACAAGAACAAAGGCAAGCGGTGCCACCAGGCTCGACACACACCGACGCAGACACGGGCAGACCGAGGGCGCAGTTCCAGGAGAGCCACATGCAAGCCTAGGCTCATCGAGACAACGGACTTGCGGAAACCAGAGTCCAGATGTCAGAGCCTTGAGGGATCATCTGACCATCTTGTCTGGCTTTCTGGCTCCCTTTCCCACCACTCCCGGTCCACCTTTTTGCCTTCAACCTGCCGCGCTCCCCGTCGCTACGTTCATCCCTTACCTACGCCTAACTTGCGGTGACTAACACAAACTGCAACTTATCTGCTGAAAAGACCCCGAACTTTCTCAAAACCAGCAAGGGGCCATGAGCGCACCTACAAAATAACTGCATATCACCGACTCCCGGTCCAATAGATATAACCCTTTCTGCCGGGCAAAATCGCCAACCCGACTCTCCCGGGGACCCCATGCACGCTTTGAAGGGTTATTTGAACAAGTGTGCCTTTTTCCTTCATTCCCGTTGCGGTGTCTCGTGAGCCTGCTCAACGAAGCACACCTTGCATGGATCATACAGTAGTTTCGAGGCGCCTGTCAAAAGTCAATGTGGATCTCGTGGCATGGTCATACTGGGGAGGAACAGCAGGACACTCCCGAAGAGTTTGTACCCGAGCTCATCCAGCTGTCGCGCAGTTGGGAGTGAGGAGAAGGGAGAGGCAGCCCAGGGCGATCCTATCAAGGAGTGCACCCAGCCCCGGCCTCAGGACCAGCAGAAGCAGCAATGAGGTTGATCAGTCACAGGCCAGGCTTAGAAGATCCAGTGCACCAGACACGCAGACCCTTTCCGAATGCAAGACAAGGCTAGGGTATAAGGTAAGTCTGCAATAGCACCACTACGGTGTTTGTTGATTCTACGAGGGAAAAAAAATAGGAATACTACTGCTGCTGCGACATTCGTCGCCTCAAGTTTACAAGAATATGCTTTCAAGTGGAAAACGAACAAGAGAGCAGAATTCCTTCCAAAGTGCTCTCTATCTAGCGGCTCATCAGAAAAGCAAACAAACGGGTGGCCACCTCAGCTTTTTGACGCACTTTTTATTTATCTTTTGATAGTTTGGAGGTTTGTTTCTTCTGATCCATCTCTCGAGCCTTGTGTGTGTCGTTCTTACTCAGTCAGTCATTCAAAGTACTTTTTTCCGGCTAGTATCCATCAAAAGTAGAGGCCTCTCGCAAACAGACAACACACTCCTCGCGTGTACACAAACTGGTAGGGATGCTCACCCCGAGTGGGAATCATGGCCGAGACCAGCTGACAACGAGCAGGCTTCCTCCAAACTCCAATTCAAGTCTGTCAGTACATTTCGCTTCGCATTTTCCTGACCCGCCTCCTTCTGGGGTAAAATGGTGGCTCCGCTCGAGTAGTTGTGCTGCTGCCGTCTTGTAAATTGCCTCGTTGGTCCTGGCCTGGTTCGGTTGATTTGAGGATGGCTCGGCTGCCAACAACAATTCGCGGGCAAGCACTTTCTTTGGGCTAGCTCGCATTTCACATTCGCATCCCAAATGAGTGCGGATTCCCCTCCACTCCTGCTGCCTCTATCTCCTCTCTTCGATTTCCACGTCACATGTGGGAGGTGTAGACAGTAACGCAAGGAGGCGGAGAAAGAAACCTCCACGTTCGACCTCGTATCAATCATCCTCTTTTTGGCTAGGCTGCTTTTGCTTTTGCTTTTGCTCGCTGGTTCTGGTTCTTTCCAATCTGGGGGAGCTGCTCGTCCTACCAAAGTTATCCGAGCCCAGGTATGCATGCGCGAGAGGGGGGTTGGAGGAAGTGATCAGATCACTTTGCGAAATGCAAGTCGTAGCCGAGCCACTTGCGCGCATTCACTTGAGCAGGAGTCAGGCCCGGCCAGCCGTACGTTAGTGGGAAGAAGAAGTAGAAGCCGTACAGGACAGCGGCCAGGATGACTGCCGTGGCAACCCAGGTGCCCACCATGCTCTGGCCCCTGAGCCTCTCGGCAGCGGTCTGGAAGTGTTTCCGCGTCTTCTCCGGGATCTTGCCGGTGACCTTGTCTTTCTTCTGTTGAAGGGCGTGCTGGGTTTCGTCGTCAACGACGGGGTCGACATTGAATATGAACTCGATCAGGGCGCCTGTCACCAGGCATGAGGCGAGATGAGCAGGGAGATAGTGGTGTAGGAACAGTTGACGGCCCATAAGGTAGAAGGGGAAATAGTGGGCGGCCCAGCAAAGGAAGAAGAAGCCGGTTGAGTTGTAAAGACGGGAGCGGGTACCTATTTTCACGGGTGATTGTGGTCAGTAATTCGTATTTCGTTCCTCTGTGAAGGTGTTTGTTGTAGAGATTAGACACATGGGAACTTACGACGATCAAGCGCATCAATTCCTCTCCTCAGACTGAGTTGATCTGCGCCCATAATCCCGGCAAAGACAGCCAACAAGGCACTCGCGATCCAATAGCCGATAGGATTTCCCAGGAAGTATATCTGCTGCTTCGTGGAGTCTTGCGTCCAAAAGCTGACACCTCTCAACAAAAAGGGCCACTGGTAAGGTTGTGTTGCATACGGGTGAGAAGCCGTTAGGGCGTTGTTGTGGTAAAACATCGCACGCTGCAATTCGATGTATTTCCTGTAGAAGGGCAGGGACTTGGTCTTCTTGACTTCCTTTACGCGGCGTGGTGAATCCTCGGGAAGGTTTGGAATGTCGTCCACATACCAGATATTAGACGATTGTTGCGCGTTTTTATTCCCGTTGATTTCCGCTTGTTTAAAGGCCCAGTCGGGTAATGGGGTAGTGTGCGTCCACATGGCGACTTTCGTTGGGTAATGGATCAATTTGAATTGGCCAGACATGGTCTTGAAGGGAGATCCTTTTTTGCCTTGTTCCATGCGGATTTCGAACAAAGTGTCATTATGGCGGTCTCCGGCTGCTACATCCAGGGGGACAGTGGTAAATTCTTGATTGGTAGGGAAATAAGGAGATGCAACGTCATGGGTCAGAAGTATGGTATCGGTCACAACGTGACGGAGCTTGACAATGTCACCGTTCAAAACTGGCTTTCCGGCCATTGAGGAATCAGGCTGTTGACCATTGGGCAAGATCTGCCACTCGTTATTGGTGTCGTTGAAAGGATAACCCGTAACTTGTTGACCTTGACTCGAGATTCGGCCGTCATCATATCTCAGGGGATACCGATCCGGGTGACTGTGCAGGTACACTTTCGTGTCTTTGTGGCGCAGAGTGATATAGTCATAATATTGAATGTCAATAGACGCTTGATGCATCAGATTGTCGCTGAGCGTTTCCTGGAATTCTGGGGTCATGAAGTCGTCGCCGGGGCCGGATCTGGAGAGAATGGCAAAGTGGACTTGGAACCAGAATAGGTAGAAGAAGAAAGGGATGATGATCAAGCCCAATGCGCGAGCCACAAAATGCTTGCCGAAGGTGAAAAGATCCAAGGCACCTTCTTTCCGATTGATATCTAGCAGGTCCCAAAGGTCGATAAGCACTGCGCACCCGATGGTGAAGAAGGTAAAGGTTCCGACGTATTTTGTGGAAATAACGCAACTCATGCAGAAACCGCACAGCAGAAGCCACTTCCACCACTTCCTGCCAAAAGGGTCGTGGCGTTGCTTGTAGAACCGAACGTAGCAATAAATGCTGAGAGAGACGAAGAAGACCAAAGTTGCGTCCAGCAGGATCAAGCGAGTTTGTCCCACATGAGAATTGTCGAAGAGGATCAGACCAGCAGCCAAAACACACGCAGGCAGCGAGTATCCCGACTCCCACATGATCATGTAGACCACCACCACAGTAAGTGCTCCGAGAAACGCAGGCAAGGCTCTGAATGCCAGGTAGGGGACATTGTTGGCGATGTAGGATTCGCCGATATTGTCAAAAAGGAAATGGCCATCATATCCAACAAGCCAACCCACAAAGGCAAAGAGGAGCTTTCCAAAGGGAGGGTGGACGTCGAAGAAGTAGGTGCGCTGTAGATAGTAGGATGCGAACTGAAAGTAGGTGTCGTTAGAGCTGGCATTGCCTAAAGTTGCTGTCATGCGCCACGTACCTTTCCAAAGTGCACTTCGTCAAAAACAACCTCGTTCGGATGGCTGATCCCGAAGAACCGTGTTGCGAATGCGAGGGCAGTGACTATAGCTAGCGCTATCTTATAGTCCCATTCTTTTGACACGCTCTTCTGCACGCTGTTGAGTGCTTCGTTCAAAACCTCGACATCCTTATCTCCATTGGAAGCAGGCTTGTTCTTGTCTTTTGGGCCCCGCTGTCGCAAGGTCGAATTGGGAGTCGACATGTTCGACGTCTCGACGGTGACGAAGGGAGTCGGGCACTGCAGGACTGAGAACGAGGTCGACGGATGGGAATCGAAGAAACAGGAAGGGAAATAGTCCGCGAATGAAGGTAGTGAAAGAAAGAATCAAAAGAGGTTCAGAGCCCTCAGAATCAGAAGGGGCATGGCATGGACGTGGAAAGGAATGAGAATGAGGTTTCACCTTAACGTGTCCTGAACTTTTTTTGACGCGACATTACGAGTTTCCCCCCTAAAGGAGACGTGGCCCGTGCGTCAGAGCCTCGTCTAAAGGGGCGAGGGAACTGTTCGGGAATCCCGTGACTCCCTCATGCCTCTTCCAGTCTGGGGTTCTTAGCCGCCAACAAACACCATCAAAGAATGGTATCCGCGAATATTTCGTTCTTATTCAGAAGCTGCCGACATTATGTACAACACACAGCAAGGCGAGTTTTTCACTCGTCTAGATCCAGAAGGCTTAGAGTTTCCAATTCCCTTTGCATCATCCGCTCAAACTCCCCCCGGGTGATTCCCGCACTACGTGCCAACCGGTACATGCTTTTCATGCTGGTGCTGATATGCTGCCTGATTCCGATCTCTGATGCTCCGTATCGCTCTGCATGCTCTTCCAGCCGGGCCACCGTGTCGGATCCCTTTGAAGATGGTGACGAGGGCACGGGATGGTTGACCTCAACTTCCAGATCCTCTGGGTCATTCGGAACATCCACAAATCCTCCTTGGTATGGAGGCGGAGTCGGCTCTGTATGTGGTTGCTGGTGTGCCGACAGCATCTGCTGCAGCGCATGCCCGTTCAAACGAGGCTCCTGGCTGTCTTCCATTTGCTCGTCTGGGTCATGATTATCCATTGCCGGCTGGACACTTCCATATCGAGCGTAGTAGTCGTCCTCGGAAGGACCTGCTCGTGGAGGCTGGACCGATTCTTTTCTCACAGGGGTCCTGCTTGGTGTGTTGTCATACATAGCCCAATAGTCGTCCTCGTTGGCTAGTGGGACCGAGAGGTTTCTCTGACTTCTTGCGTTTGCAGCGTCGTCGGCTTCCTGCAAAGCCTCGTTCACGAGCCGCTCCTTAGAGCTCTCATTTGCTTCGGCAATAGAAGTTGACCATGAAGGGTCTTTGTAAAGGTCTTGGTCATATGGTAATAACTCGGCCAGCTTCCAGGCGTTTCCCTCATCACTACCGGTGCACCACAGGTACAAGGCGGTAAACGGCCATTCCTCTAGGGCAATTTGGGCCCGTAATGTTTCTTCGTCAAATCTCTTGTATTTTATCTGTTGTGTGTCGCCAACCTCAATCTCACCGGACGCTGGGTGAGGTTCGAAGACTGCGCCTTCGATCTTGTCCTTCAGCACCTCGCCTTTGTTTGCATCCCAGCACAACAGTGCAGCCCAGTTGTCGCGTGACGATGTCGACGTGTGTACTTGTAACCGCTGCCGGAGTATGGGCGACAGCAAAGGTAGCAGTGCGGGTGGTGGTCTAGGAGACGCGAAGGAGGTAGGTAGACATGCGAGCAAGGGAGGGAGTAAAGAGAGGGGATCAGGAGGAGGTATCAGCTCAACCATGCTTATTCCAGGTGTTAGACTTGAGAGGTAGTCATTTGCGTAACAGAGGTCGGGTCACAGAGGACAGTGATGCGTCGGCAACAACAACAGGAACTATGTCGCTGTGGAGGGCAGTCAGCGTCAGGTATGGCAGCGTGGTTTGAGTGAAGTGCAAAATGTTATTGGGGACAAGACAGTGAAGTTGTTGGGATCTTAGAGACAGGATGCAGACTCGGGCAGCATCGATCACAGCGGGAGACCATCTATGTACGATCGACGGTCGGCGAGGCGGTAGGTTGGTACGGCATAATAGGCTGTCAGAGGATTGTGGTTTGGTCTGGATCAGGAAATCGAGGCTGGACACACGGGTAACCAAAGGATCCCAAGGGTTGCATTTTCCATTCGCCCGGCCGGCATCGCCTCGTCATGGGAATTGCCTCGGATAAGATGGTGATTGGCTATAAGGCATCAGGCTGAGTACCACGTGCCACGATAGTGTGTGAGGCTGAGCACCAAATCTCCACTCAACAACTTGTGCAGCCACCGCAGCTGCGGTAGTGGCTGACATGTGCCATCCACTCGCCGGCTTTCCCTCCTTCAAGTTATAACTCACTTCTGTGTCCAGTATATTCATAACTCTGCTAGGAATGCGCCAATGAAGGCTTTTTCTCACGAAGGCATCTGGTAAACATGCAATGTTCACCCGAGGACACTCCCAACCCCTCTCTAACCTTCTTTGAAGGGGGACCTTTGTACGAATCTTGGAGCTAATACGAGGTACTATTCTTTCACATGTTCAGATCTACACCATGTCACGGTACCTCGCAGCAGAGCCTCAACCATCTATTGAACGGGGTAACATCCGTCAAAGGAAGCCATGCACGTGCCCATCGCGATGACCACACTCACCCAAGCTACATTGCACCAAGAGACTGCGTCGACAGGGTGACCATCGTGCTACCTCATGCACTGATTACCGCTTCCGCATTCGCACTTGTTATCACCCTCATTTCCCCGCACCAACTCCTGTGATAAGGGAAAAATACCTGGGGCTGGCATTTTTGCCACACATTTGTCACCTCTACCACAACCCTCAATATCTCCCGGTTCTGGTCGAGTCCATCCTGGGTTGGAGATAATCTCAGACCAACTCTCATGGCTCGCATTGCTGGGAAGAAACAAGTTGTTGAAAACGGATCTGAAGTTGTGCTCCCTGCACACCTCGTTGGCCCTTCCGATGCGGGCTTGTCAGGGAGAGATTCGGACGAAGATCAACACACAGAGGTCAACCAGGAGGGGCTGCAAAATGGACCAACTCGCGCGCAAGCAGAGGCTCGCCTCCGTCGCAAAGTTGACATACGGCTCTGCACCATCGCTGGAATTCTCTGCAGTCTGAATTTACTCGACAGTGGAATTATATCCTCAGCGGCTGTCACAAGCATGCTCTCTGATCTCGACCTCCTCGGAAATCGATATTCTGTCTCAATATTCATCTTTACTGTTGCTTCTGTCGCCTGTCAACTGCCTGCGACTATCCTATTACGCTTCGTGGGACCTCGGTTGTTCTTTTCCTCAATCACTTGTGCTTTCGGCATAATCACTATGTGCACAGCCGCTATAAGCAGCTGGCAACAGATGATAGCCCTTAGAGTCCTCCTTGGTATTTCTATGTCGGGTATCTATCCAGGGCTGACGTACCTGATTTCAACTTGGTATACCCGCCATGAGCAGCAACTCCGATTTGCGCTGCTGCAGTCAGGAGAGATCATCATTCTCGCCACTGGCTCCATCGTCAACTTTGGTCTGAACCACCTCGATCATCAGGACGGCCTTCGAGGCTGGCAATGGATGTATTTGGTTCAAGGCTCGGTCACTGTCTTCCTCGGATTGATTACCTATTTCTGGATGGTTGATTTCCCCGACCGCTGCGAGAACTCCTTCAGGTTCCTCACGGATGATGAGAAGAGCCTTGCCATCTCTCGAATTCACGAAGATCGCCATGATGCCGGGAAACCAGAACCATTCAGCTTGGGTATTATACTGGTTCACTTCTTCGATTTGAAGCTATACGCATTCTGCGTGCTATTCTTTCTACTCAACTTGGTGTCCACAGCTCTCTCGTACTTCTTGCCTATTATTCTGCAGAACGGAATGGGTTTCGACTCGAATGAGGCGATTATTCTGTCATCTCCGCCATACTATTATGCGGTAATTCCTGTCCTGATCTCTTCATATATTGGAGACAAGTACAGGGTCCGGGCACCAGTCATCATTTTCAACGCGGTCTGCCTTATCGTGGGATTCTGCATGCTAGGCTTCAGCAGTCAGGTAACTGTGAGATATATTGGCACGTTCCTGGCCACGGGCGCATACATTTCCAACTGGGCCGCGCTCAATGCTTATCAAGCCAACAATATTGTGGGTCAGTGGAAGCGTGCCACAGTTGCAGCAGCCGTTTCTGCCTGCAATGGATTGGGCGGTATAGCGGGCAGTTACATCGTCCGCCAGCCAGAGGCCCCACGATATTTGACAGCAATATGGGTCAGCATTGGGAGCCATATTTTGATGATCGTATTGGTTTCGGTGTGTACTCTGTGGTTCTGGTTCGCAAATCGCAAATCAAAGATGAAGGGAACTTTGATCGAGGGTGTCACGGACTTTCACTATACTTATTGATGTGAGTTCTTAGGCATTTCTGCTGAAGATAGAATATCTGTTGTCTGCAAAATAGAAGGAATCTTAGATGCACTCTGCGAGATGTACAGAGACTATGGTGACATGGAAGGTCAATGCTAGCATGGTGTTGAAGAGGTGACGATTATGCCTACACGAGAAAAGGAGAAGAGGGAGATCCATATTCTACTAACCATTTTAGTGCTAGCTCACTTCCATACACTAAACCCAACTAGTTAAAGATATCAACACCACCAGACGCGAGTCACGACATAGGCATATGAACGAATTGCCCACCCCCAAACTTGTGCTTCTCAGAACCGTTGTCTTGTATCGTCCCTTGTTCCGCTGACACCGGCGCAAGTGTGAAGAGTCCTTTGCTCCGACGAAGAAACAATGGTCGCGGCAAAACCTCCCCAGTCTAGATCCGGGTCATCGAGTCTCAGCACGGGACCCGCGACGCTCGAACCGCGGATAAAACAAGTATCACAGACCACGATCCGCAAGAAATGGAGACCTCTACCGCCCTCGTCGCAGGAGAAGGTTAGGCAGCTCTTCCTGAATGTCAAGACGAGGAGATCTGGTGCCGGTGGGAACGGCAGGATTCCACCGGTTGGCAAAATGCGCAACAACGACAACGCAAAGATGCCAAAGAGGAACGCGACGATGGCCAGTGTCAGGGAGGATGAGTACGAGAAAGCCGTGGAGGAGGTTGCTGAAAAGTATGTTTGATGCGGAATCTACCCCTCTCTATATCCAAATTGTCATTTCTCCCACCCTCGACTCGTATCCGGCTAACACTTATCTCCCTTGCAGACTACTCGCCCGCCTACCCCGAATGCCATTCCCACAGACAAATGCATCCACAGTGGATGATTCGCCATTTGATCTTTCTGCGACTCTCGCCCGCATTGCCACCCTGCAGTCCCAGTTAACGACAAACCTCCAATCTGCGCAGCTTCTCCGGCGGCAGATCAACCGAGAGAAACTCGCCCTGAAGAGGGACCGCGCTCAATTGAAAACGCTCGAGGAAGGCTTCAAAAGCAGCGAGGCGCTGAGGCGGAAGAAGGAGAGGGGCCTGCATCCGATAGCGAAGAACTTGCACAGGGAAGAAGACGAGGACGAGGGCGGCAGAGAAGCTGAATTGCGGGAGGAGGTCGAGCGCGTCAACAACATTGCAGGAATCTTCCCCGTGAATCAGAGGACATCCGCCATGTCGGAGTCAATGACCTGCTCGCCTCCAACACTGAGTCCCGGCTCAGACGACGACCCGGAACTGAGTTTGCTGCTCGACCAACTGCGGAGCCATCTCCTCAGCATGCAGAACAACACGGCAAGCATGCTGCCTGTATTAGCGGCTATGGATGAGACCAAGGTCACGTTGGACAAATTTGCTGCCCGCCACGGGATCGGAAATAGTCTTGGAAACACTTGACCCACAGGATGTCGTTCCTGGAGAACATCTCCAACCCAAAATCGAGAGGATTGCGAAACCTCTCGCCCATCTCGCTATGCCTGCAGAGTCTCTGCGAGACCCTTACACATTCCGGCAAATGTCGTGTCACAAATAGATCTGTGGATCTCGGTCGCGAGATACTGTCCTCCCTACCTCTGCTGGTATCGCGTTGAACTAGACAGTCCAGGTGAGATTGGGCTACTTTACAAGGATACGTCCAGGTCCGCGTACCCCTAAACAGAGCAGTTGCACACCCTCAATGGCTCTGGCTCTGGCTCTGGCTCTGGCTCTGGCTCTGGCTCTGGCTTTCCAGACAGTATACAACCCCGCCGCGACCCTGATTTTCTGACGACAAGCGAGCTACGCACTGTCCTACAGTACCTAGAATATCGCTTCTCCAACTTCACCTTCGACGAGGACGAGGGATGAGGATACAAGACAGAGAGCGCATCAAGTGCAACCACTACTGCGACCTTGTACACACCTCCAAATCCGCTCGGTCTCGAAGAACCACGGCACGATTGGTCGAGTATATAGTCAGTCGTCTGTCTGTCTGCCTGCCAGCTCGTCTGTCTGTGTGTGAGTACGACAGGCCATGTGTATGAACTTGGCCCTTCTTGGCCAGCCTCACGGAGATGGCGCCCAAAGAGTCCTCAAAGAGACTTTGAATGCGCAATTTGAACAATCACGAAATTACTCCAATGTTATGACGAACATTTTATTTCATCCCACCATTATTCATTCCTATCGCTGAACCTCTTTTGTTGCTTTGCGTGAAAGGGACAGAGGGGTCCGACAAGAGGGTTGATCTATTCAATCATGATGCGTCCGTGCGTGATTGTCCTGTTAACCTCTAGCCTGTCGTGTCCGCCGTGCCTCCTGAACCTCCATTAATCGTACCGAGATAGCTGAGTATATTAGTACACAGAGAGACCACCTCCACCCGACCGTGGTCCTGCCCTGCCCTGCCCCTACCAAGCCAAACTTTTCCAATAACCTGCCAAATACAAACTACAGCGTGCGCACGCCCAGGCCCGCTCCCAGGACCGCGGCATCGATGAGTCCAGACCTGTGTCGACCGGGCGCGAACCGGCGCATGACAAACCAGAAAAAGAAGACGGCCAGCATCTATCAAGGGCGTTATCCCTAGTAGTCAGCAAGAGGACATCTTCGGAGCCAAGGAGAGAGTGGCACCTCCGGGCAGGACATAGACGGGAGGTTTGGTACTTGATAGGGGATTGGTAGGGAAGATTGAAAGAGTGTAGAGGCATTTTTGGGCCGAATGGGCGGGAGGATCGCGAAGGAAGGAATTGAGAGAAACGACAAGAAAAAAACCCATCCAGTATATATAACATGGTCTGGGTTGGTGTTCCCATTGAGGGAGACAAGGAAGAGAGAGGGACAATTCACATACCAAAGGGACCGCAGCGATGAAATACCACTTCAAACTCGGGTACTCGCTCAGAGCATCGACATTCATACCGAACGCGCCGACCAAGAACGTCAACGGCAGGAAGATGAAGGTAATCCAACTCAGCCGCCACAGACTGGCATTGAGCTCGAGCGACTGTTTCGAGTCTCGGATTGTGACAGACTTGTACATCTATTAACAAGCAAGACACACGCCCCATCCCCGGCGAGAGCCGAGAGTAGAGCAGTGCAAAAGAATTAGTCAATATGTCTTTTTTCCTCTTTCACATCCGCCACCCTAGCGCAAAGCCAGGTGGTTGGGCAGTATATTGCAATTCAGGGCAAGGATGGAAAGAAACAGGAGAAATGGATGCAAGAGTGAGTGAATGAGAACGAGGGTTCATACCAGGTCAATCATATGCTCCAGCGGCTCAAGGTAATCCGTTCCAATGTTGTCAGCCAGAACCTCAAAGTCGTCCAGCAGTGGCGTCAACCAGGTAGTACTGCTGCCGCCACCGCTGCTGCGATCGCGCCCGCTGGACCTGTCTCGCCTCTCGTTTCCACCTCCGTCTTGATACTTCTCCAACTCGGCGAAAACGGCAAAGTCGTCCTGCACAGCCTCGACGACCTTGGAGTGCCGATTCACCAGCTTCAGCATGTTATGCAGCCTCTGCGACATGCCCCAGACGTCGCGGGCGCGGGTCGAATCGGACGGGTGGGCGTAGACATGGTCCTCTAGCGAGGCGTGGGGTTCGTGAATCAGCGCAATTTGGTCGCGCCAGAGCTGGTACAGGCCGTCGAAGATGTGTGAGAGCACCGCTTGAAGGGTCGGCGTCGATGCACACTTTCTTTCATCCGAAGCTGTACTCTCTGTTTGGTCGCTAGAGGCAGAGGGTGGGAAAGCGCCCGGGTTCAGGCCTAGCAGCACATTGGCACTGACAATCTCACCGGCCTCGCCGGACGAGTATTCACAAATAACAATGGTATCGCGCTTTGCCATGTCGTGCAGGTGACGTGAGCCGGAATTGAATCGCGTGACTCGTGGTCCAGGTAAGGCTTGCGACGAGGCTCGCTGCATGTAGACTGAAATACGCTGACGGTAGATAGAGGGTTTGGTGGGTTGCAACAGTTGATCATGCTGCGACGGATGATCATGTTCATCATGATGGTGGTGGAGGTGATGTAGATGATGATGGTGGTGGGATGGAGTCTCCTGACGAGGCACCACCAAGGACCCAAAATCCAGCCCGAACGCCATGCAGATGACGCCTCTAGCGATATCGAATGCCGGCCGCCATCGAATGGCCTTATGTGACGCCCGCCGCGTATCGCGGTCATCCTGCATCCAGTCACGAAAGCTGCGCTCACCTGTCTCGGCGCTAGAGCCGCTGATGCCGAACGCATTGCTCAGATAGTTGACTGCTTCTTCGTTGTTGCAGACATAGACCAGACGGAGCAGGGAATCGGGTTGCTCGTCCTCTTCCAGGTACTTTCGGAGACGGGACACACTTTCGAACAGCTTTGGAGGTGCGCAGAGCAAAACACCCTCATCATCTTTGATACTAGTGTTAGACCATGGGAAGTGCAAACGGGACAGAGCGAATGGTGTGGCAGGGAGGTTCGCGCTAGGCCATGCCATTACATGGCCCATCTCGAGCAACAATACTTTACTTACCAATGTCATATTCCAACACATAGAGAGCCCGTCGCTTGAACAGCGGAGCCGGCTTCTGGGACAGGATCGCCGTCGCATGAGTCGTCGCTAGACCAGCAGCATGCTTGAGGCCGGTATGCGCCCCAGGCTTGATTGCAGGCTTGATCCCGAACCACCGTCTGACGCGGTCGATTGGGTGATTGGCGCCGCTGCGGGCGACGAGGTCAGATGCTGAGCGCGTGATATGGAGCTGTGCCTCTTCCGCATCGATGTCGGTGTTGACGCGTCTGAAGACGGCAGCGCGCTGCTCGATCTCGAGTTGTTGTTGCGGATCCGGCTCAGGGAAAGGGTTTTTGAATTCTACCGACTCCTTGACGAGGTCGTGTTCCTGCTCGCCAAAGTTGTCGTCCGAGTAGCCCCTGACGCGCTGACCCGGGTGGACGTCGAGAGGACATGGGCAGGTGTCGGCCTGAGTCAATGAAGCGGCGACATTCTTGCACTGAGGCGGTTTGGAAAAGAAATCTTGCACGAACGATGTCGAGATGTCTTCCTCCCTGACCAGTGGTGGCCGCAAGGGTCGTCCTTCTTCAATGCGGATCGACAGCTCGGCTCCCCTTTGGTGTCGATCTGTTGAGAACTTCCTCTGTTTCGCAGACCGTGTCGAGAGAATTGAAGACCTTCTTGAAGCCATTGCTGAGGGAATTTGAGCTGTCCTTTTCCATACTCTTTCCTCTCAGAAACAGTCAGGACACATGTTGTAGTACATCACTGAATCCTCCTCTTTTGTGGCGCCAGCAAGGCTGGCTCGGAGGTGACGATCTTGACCCGAACCTTGATTGTGCGCAGGTGATGTGCATGAAGCCCCTGACAATAGGGGCTGCTGATCGGACCATCAAAACAGCCATTTTCGTCAGTGGCTAATGCCAGCCAACATACAATTGAGTTGGTCCGGTGTCATGGCAAGATTAGTCTGGGTGTAAAAAAAAATTGTGAAAACAGATGGAAAAGGATGAAGGTGAGGTTTTGTGGGAATTAGGGATATCAGCCTGTAAAGGCAATGACCACCACGACTATTGACTATTATTGCGCATGACGAAACGATCCGCCCGACGCTACCAAACAATGTCCTTGTCCCAAGATGTGGTCCTTGTCTTCGGCCACGATTCCAGATGGCAAGCAAAACTCCGACTTGATGATTTACATAATTACACGCCTCAGGCTAGATCAAATTACCATCCTCCTTCACCAATAACTCTCAGACCACAAGCTAATTGATTGATCATGGCCAAACGACTTCAAGGTCTGCCATATGCCTTTCGTGGAAACTCATCCCAGATATCCTTCATTTCCGCGACATCCAGCCCATCTTCTTCTATCAAATGTCCTTGAAAGTCCACGTCTTCTCCATCTATCAAGCCCCGGAAGCGCCCCTTCATCCACTCGTCTCCGTCGAATTCCAGGTATCCATCGCAACCTCGTCCAAACTTCATGTCGCCGTCATCATCATCCTCCGACCTCCACCCGAACGAGACAGCGTTATAAGGAGTGACGTGGGAGATATCGCCGGCGTGGAGAACCCCGGATTTGGAACCGATGTTAAAGCGCCCCCAGAGTTTTTGTTGTCGGTGGTCGACTTGGAGCGTGATATCAAAGGGATAAAATGGTTTTTGGTGGATTAGGTAGGTGCCTGATATTTGGATGCCGGCAGAGCTGTTTGGAGAGTCGTCGGGCTCGTCATACCCCAGGGACTCGTACGCCGGCGGGGCGTCATCCATTTCGACGTCATGGTGGAAGGAGACGGGGGTGTGGTCATAGATGTGTTGTGGAGGGTTCGAGATGGGTCGGGCACTGGTATTGCGAGGGAAAGGCTGGCTTCGTCTGGCGGTCTGTCGACTTCGTGGTGCTGAGGCTGAGGCTGTAGCCTTGGGTTTGGAGGGAGATTTTGGCGCAGATGCAGGCTTGGGAGTGGAAGATGATGTTTTGGCGCCTTTGGACTTTTTGGCAGATGGAGCATCAGAGGCAGCGGAGGCGCTGGAAGTCTTCTTGGATTTGGTCGACTTCTTTGCCGCCTCGAGCGTGTCGCGGTCAATCTTGAGCTTCACGTCATCGATTTCCAGCTCGATGGTGGTTTTTGAGCGGGCGGCGCCTTTCTTTTCTTTCGCAGTCGTCGTGGCTTTCTCAGAGACTTTGGCCCGCGCTGGCTTTGCTGCTGCTGCTGCGCCCTTCGCTCTCCTCAGCGCACTGGCAAACTCCTTCTTCAACTCCGCCTCCATCTGCACAATCTCCTTGGGCACCGACAGAGTCTTGGCCGAGAGCGCATTGGTCAGTCGCACTTTGGCCGTGTTCTTGTCTCGAGACCGTGGGAGTCCATAGTGAAGCAGCTGCGCCTCGTACCAGTGCGCGACCTGGTCCTTGGGCGTAGAGCCGCGTTTGGGCAGAAGCAGGTCCTTGAGGTCTGTTGTCGAGGCGCGAGGATGTCGTTTATTGGGCCCCAAGCTACAAAGAGAGTGTCCCTATAGACGAAGTCGCCTCTTCTGACCTCTGTATTTTCCATCGTGGTCAGACTTTATGGCGAGGTGATGGAGAAGGAGGACGAGGAGGAGGAAGTGGTGGTGTTTGCCCTGACTTTGGTGAGGGACGAGGGACGGCCAGCCAAGCGGTGGGTTGCCAGGCTGAAAGTCAAGGTGCGCTAACTCGGTCCGGCTGCTATTTGATGGATGCAGTCAGCAGTTCAACCACACGAGGGACAGAATGTCCCTCTACCTCGTACATATTACCGCGACCATACAAGCCCGGCCTATCCAAGACACAGAGAGAGCTGCGTTCTTGATATCCTCTCATTCGACATATTTTCTCCGCCTATCAACCAAACATTTCTAATTGCTGGCCCATACATCATTCCTCCATCATCTTCCAGCCTCACGGAACCTCCTCTCTCCTCTCTCCTCTCCCCTCTCCCCAGCTACTCTCGACGACATCTACACTTTCACTCCTGCTTGTCGGCGACTCACTCCCTCGGCAGCTGCACACTCCTGCGCAAACCCCAAGCACCTCATCATCCAGCCGCGGCCCCAGTAGCTCAGCTCGATACAATGCGGTGCACCAAGAACGATGCCGCTCTCGACCCTCGGGCTTCCTGTAAAGTGCCGCGCAAAGTCCTGCACCGTCTCCCTCGAGGCCTTCCATAATGCATCGTGCTCGCCCATCCCATACATAATCGGCACCTTCACCTCCTTTGCATAACCCGCCCAGTAGTCCGCCCAGTGGAACGTGCCGTCTTCAAACTCTCCGAGGGACATGGAAGTGTTCAAATCGGACCCCATCTCTCGGATCTCGGGAGGCACCCTTCCCAGCTTGGGATCGCCAAACATGGGGCCATCTTTCACCTCCAAGGGCCAAAAAATCCGTCCGTCGACGACCCCGTTCTCAATAATGTGCCTGGCACTTTCACGAGGACGACCATGTTCCGTGCCCCAGCCGGACATGATCAGCCCACCGAGTGGGTATTGAGGTTGAGGGTCATTTGCGTGGAGGGCAGAGGCCACGATAGAGCCTGGGGATCCCAAGGAGTGCGCCAGGATGACAATGGCGGTTGCTCCAGAGCTAAGCCCGAATTCTTGCCATACCTTGGGAAGGATATGACGGTGAAGGTATTTGCCTTCTTCCTGGAGGAACGTCGATCCGTCAGGCACCGGAGGAAATCCTGTGCTGTCTTTATACCCTGGACGGTCAATGGCTACGAAAGGCACCCCGAGTGTTTCTGCCAGCCTTGCGGCGGACGTGGCTGTCCCGGCGTCAAAGTACTTAGAAAAATACGTCCCGCCGTGTATTGCGACCACCAAGGGTTGATAGTCGGGAGATTTTGACGCACGGGTCGGCACCGAGAATATACCTGAAAGCTGAGCGCCATTTGTCAATGACAGAGGAAAGGGCTTCATATCGACCTTGGAAGCCAGTATTGGGTGAAGTTACAAGACCAAGTGACCAATCGGCGGTCGGCAGTGCAGTGAGCAGGAGAGCTCGCGAAGCCGCTGCTGTTGTTGTAGAGAAGCCGGCGAATGGGATTCTTTATCTGTCCCCGTCCTTGCCGATGCTGACGATCCGTGATGATCAAAATACAACTACTGTAGTGGCAAAAGCCACAGCATGGCAAACCTCAAGGCGTCCTGCAGGCTCACGTACCGAGTACGGACCCGTTCTTGCCCCGATCCAGCGCGGAGCAATCGTGGAGAATTGTCGACCCCTATTACCTCGCACTGCTCCACCAATTGGGGATTCGGCTCGTATCTGTACTCGGTACCTCGTATGCGGGGATGGGGCCCGTTTCGAGGCGAGCCTCCAAGGCACTTCCTGCAGATGGATGACCGTGCGAGTCCAAGTAATCCCTCGGTGTATTCGAACATATCCGTCGGATCAAACGCAGTCCCACGAAATAGTTAGTCGAATCATCCTCGGCCAATGCGCTGTTCTAGGGGCGCCTCGGTGTTGACGACGTGCCTTTGTCAAGGTACGAGTCGCAAAGGAGAATGTGGCACCAGACCCTGCGACCATGTTTAGCTCATTTCCTGTAGGAAATGTATCAGTCTGGGGGTCGCAATAGGAGATTGAGCTGGGCTTCAAGACTTTTTCCATTGGCAGGTGCAGAGTAAGCCGCTAACGCCCTGTAGAGAGGATACTGCGTTCCAAATGCCTTTCCCAGACGACTGTTTTCCTCCTAGTGGCTTCATTGTTGCTGGCCACACGGAATGAAAACCAATATTGTGATGCTTCCTGGTCACACTTCCTCCAATACCGTATAAACAGCAACAAACCAGATTGCCATAACGATTGTGGTATCTCAAAAAACTGCAAACATGTAGGAGCTTGCATATCAAATCTCGCCTATTTACTGCGGAATATGTATGCGCAGATCGTGAGATGCAGTTGTCCTAATTACTGACATAAAGAGCCGTCCCTGAAATCGTCTCGGTTCGACAAGTGGCCTTGTTCCACGTGCCACCTCCCAATATCAATGCTAATGTTGGACCACGTCGTGGTATATCTTGGAATCTTCGTTGAGTGCAGGCGTCGCTGGGAACTCTCCTGGAACATGGAATTCTCGGGTACCATTGTAGGCCTGCGCCGGCTTGACGACGTAATCCGTTGGCGCAGTCTTGGATGTTCTGGGGCCCGCGTAGATACCATTAGCGTCGAACATGGTGGGAGTCGCCACACCGTGACCCGTGCTTGTTGGCACCGTGGACAATGTGCCCGTCTCCGTTCCTGATGATACGGTATTGGCGACAGCCGAGCTGGGCGCTGTGGTTGTTTCACTCATTGCCAGCGGTGCAGACGGTGCATCGACTGGTGCCGCGGTTGCCACGGGTATGGGGGCTGAGGATTCTCCATATCGCGGGATTGCTGATTCACCATCTAGCCGTTGGGCATCCGTCTCAGTCTGTTTCTCGAGTTGATGCTCGTGGTGATGGTGCATAGCCCCAGCAGCTAACGCCGCCCCTCCTGCGCCTGCAGCAATTGGCGCCATCCATTCACCATACTGACTCGCGTCATCGTGGGCAGGGTGTGGTTGACGATTGGGGAATATATTCGGATGGTGGCCCGGCGCATATTGGTTCGTTGTATTCATCTGCGACGTCAGACCAGCAGGTGGATCGGCGTCTGGCTGGAGATCCGTGTGCTTTTCCGTGGTATGGGCGAAAGGTACTCCGCTGCCTGGTAGAGCACCTGCTGCTGCTATGACATCACGGTCTGGGTCAGAACTCTCTCCACTAGAAGGGGACAGCGGAGCTTGCAAGCCGCGCTGTACGTTGAGATCAGATGGAAATCGCCCACCTGGTGCTGGTCGTTGTGGAGGACGCCATCCGGCTTCGGATCTGTTGTCCTCGATGTCGTTCAACGCAGCCGCACCGAGACCGCCGGCGCCGGCGGCAGTAGCAGCGGCGATGGCAGCTCCATCGGCAGATGTTCCTCGCACGGACTGTTCACCGGAAAATGCAATGCGATCAGCCTCATCATCCTCCATCTCGCCCTCCGAGCTCATAATGCTGGCAGGTTTGACACTGTTCCCGGAAAGCGATCGAGCGTGCTGCCTGCGGACAAACTCGTTGCGTTCTTCACCTCGCTTTTCAGTAAGCTCCTTGATGTCATTGAACCACGCTAACATGGTCTCGTGTGACTCGGCTCGGAAGACCCAGGCGTGCCCGCGATGCATCGAGCCGGTCTGTCGACCCTTGAGCATGAATTTATGCGACGAAGAGCCAGGCTCAGAATGAGCGCCCAGTTTCTGTTCGGGCAGATATAATGACATGACAGGCGACTGGAATGCAATTCGGTCTGCCGATTTGAACTCGTGCAGATGTGTCGGAGACAGCACATACCTGATAGACGCAATCAGTATTTGGAGCCGCGAAATGGCTGCTAGATTTTACTCACCATCCAGGAGTGTAGTTCTTCAGGTATTTACTCTTCCGCTCAAGCATCCCGCTCCTTACTTCAATGGCGGCCGGATGATCTTTTCCGGGATAGATAATATGAGAGACTTGTCGAATGGGGATTCTTGGATCCACCATTTGATTGTTATTCCTGGTGAATTCGTCCCACTCATGGTCCTTGGTCATCGACAAAGGTCCATCCTTGAGCTTCTCAGCTGTGTCATAGGCGTCGTCGGCTTCGCGGCGCAGGATGCCGGCAAGCACATTATACGCTTTCTGGATTTCGCCAACCACGATGGACTCCAACTCTCGACCAGACGCTTCGAGGTTGAGATAGGCCTGTTCATGTCAGCTCAAGCACTGCGACGCGACTCGGCAGGACATCCTACCCGATGCAAATAGTTCTCTTCATCGATTTGTTTCTCAATCTGCTTGTCGACGGTCATCTTGACCAAGAATGGGTCGCCCTTGCCTCCAGACGATGCTACCTCATGATCAACCATACCAAGAGATTCTTGTAAAGATTGGATCGCCCTTTTGGTGACCTCCTTTTCCTTGTCTACTGAATTCTTAAAATCACCAGACAAGCTTTTGATCTCTTTAATCTTCTGTTGGAGGTCACTACGCAGACCCGTGAGTTGAATAATGACCTCATTCTCAAGGTCTCGAGCCTTGTTGGCTTCGTTAAGTCCTTGTTTGTGAAAGTCTCGAAGGATGTAGGCGGCGTCACCCAGACCACCAGATGTCAAGAAGTTGGAAGGGATTGTGGTGTTGTTGATAACGTTGGAGGTCGACATGAGGGCTTTTGCTCGAGTTTCATATGTCTTGTGCAGTTCCCGGAAGTAATTAATCAAATCCTTGAGTACTTTGCGCCATGCTGATCCAGATGTTAGCAGGGGACAATCTATCTAGCCAAAAAGAGAAGACATACCTTGGAATCGCGCTGCGAGAAGCTCTGTGGGGTTTCCTGTGGTCGGAACTGGACAGTAGAAAACACTGTTGCTCTCTTCAGTTTCGCCATACTTCTCCTTTTCGGCCAGTGGCATGCTGCGCACTGAACCGGCGTAGCTGCTTCTCTTGCTAGCAGTCCTTTTCAGACTTGCGCTCTTGTGAAGAGAAGCCTTTTTCTTCAGTGTCCCACCTCTCGATGGTAGTAGAGTCTGCGACCCTGACATATGCGAGTTGCTCCGAGGAAGGTCTGGAGACTCCTGGTTTTGGTGGACGACTTCATCATGTAGATCGGCGGCTTGCGCTACGGAGGATGGATCCTGCAAAAGAGCAGCATGAGAATGGTTTGGATGCGACAAGGTCTCTGTATGTTGGGTGCCGGCATAGGATACAGGTCGAGAAGATAGCCTGGCGCTCGGAGCTCGCGCGGAATGTATTGAGGCATCGGGATGAGCGCTTTGGATGGGCGAAACAGGAGTGATAGGTCTCGAGGACATGATGACAAGGTCCAGATAGGAACGTAAAAGCTCAGTTGTAGAGCTATCTGCGGGTCATTGAAGTTTGGGTACACCGGCGACTCTTGTTTGGGAGCTATGTCGTGAGCGGCATCTTGGAGCAGACAGAAGCGTTTCCAGTATGCACGACACCTATTTCGTGTAAGAGTGCAAAAGGTATGGACGGAATGCAAAGCAAGCTGGAAGGAAGCTGAGACGAGAGGAGTCGAGACTGGGGAAATGAGATGCGATGAGCCGTGCCAATATGGATGACGTCGGTTTCAGGAAGAACAAGAGTCAAGAGAGTTGGCGATGATGAGGGCAGTCGAGGGTGGGCGGGAGCGTCGACGTTGAGGTGGACAAAGGTCGAAAGGCAATAAAAACGGTGAAGTCAGTGCCCGCTTGGGAAGCTTTGGGTGGGTTCATTTGGGAGGTGGAGGCTTGGATTAGGGCCCTTGAGTTGTTCAGTGCCACCGGCACGGCGGGAACAAGTGGTCGAATCGCAAAAGGTGTAGGTGCTTAGTGGAGAGCCTGGAGGGAGAGGGGCCCAGGTCCGCCCGAGGATGATGGGAAGGGGGCGGTTGGTTAGCTGGAAGCTGGCCAAGGGAGCCTGGGTGACTAGAAGTAATTCGGGGCCTCCTCCTCGGCGGTTGGCGCGCAATGTTGCAGGCTCGAACTGCTGCTCGACATTGAGTGCTGAGCATCTAGCAAGCAGTGGAGTGACGAGGGGTCCTCCCGAGTCCTGACTGCCCAACCCAGCGCACACCTACATCAGACAATGGTGATGTAATTACCCACCATGCGCTTTGTGTCCTTTGTCTTGTCCTGCATTCTACTTGTATCTTTAAGTATTTGTTTAGAAGAGATGTTTCCGAGAATACGATACCATGTGCCCAAAATGCCTTACTCGATCGCCGGTTGAGCATTGCCGAGGGTGGTCTCGCAGGATCAACCATGTCGACAAGCTCTCGTGGTAGTTAGCTGCTCCGCGATTGCGTCGCTAGCCACATGAACTATTTGAAGGAACCACTCACCCCGCCAAATACTGGATACCTACGAACAGCTTGCGTTTCCTAGGCGCGGCTGCCTCCCGGCCCTGGGCATCCATCTTAACCCGAACCGGAAGAGAGCTATCAAAGCTATGAGCACTGTGCTATCGAGGCATGCAGGACGCCACGGGAAGACTCGCATGAGAGAAAAAACATGCTCCAAGAGATAGTGACTCGGGTGCCGGGTCAACTGGGAGGGTCCTCGGTATACCTGGGCAATTGTTCGCTTTGCATATTGCGGTGGCTGGGCCAGTGGCGTTACTTGACGATCATGTCAAGATGGCTTGATTGTCCAGCCACCTTCCCAATAGGCAAAAGCTCAGGAAATCGGCACATCAGTCATCAATCGTTCATCTTTGCGTTTTGCCCAGAACAATGAGCTCCTCCACTGATCGGCCATTGCGCTGGTCCGTTGCAGCACTGTACCGAGTACGGCGCACTTGGTCAGCTCTTAAGAAGCTCTTCTTTGACTAGCCCAGTTCGAGAAGTACAACTGAGCTGAACAAGCGCCTCTTCATGCGCCACGAGGGAACCCAACAACCACGTTCATTCTACACGTTGTGGCGTGATTGCTAGGGATCAGCGCGGATAAGTGACTCCTCGGATCAAGGCAATGGTTGCTCTTGAGCCAACCCGGTATGCCCGGTCCTGATGGGTCACCTCATACGAATATAGTGGCAGCTGTTCAAGCCACTTTGTCTGAATGAAGTCGACTAAGAAGAGCACTCAAAATAAATTTCCAGATGAAGCCAATGTTTTCTTGAAAGTTTCCAGTCCCTCCATGTGGTCAAATTTTGTTCCTGTTAGGTTAGACTCGCTTACTGACATCTGTCGTTTGTGAGCTCATCACCTGGTACCTAATCAGTTTTGTCATCATTCAACCACGTTTTCACTTGCTGCTCTCATCAAAGGAGTGCTGGCGATGGGTGTGTTTGGGAGTGAGCCATGATGATGAATAAGCTGTGATCTTTCACATGATTCCAGCCAGAAGATATTTTTGGTAACCTCTTCTTTCGTGTTTGAAAATGAATACAGGTGAACCTCTCGGAACTGCTTGATATACCGGGCTATGTACAAATGTTTTCGGCTCCATTGGTTTATCCTTTAAAAAACAACTCTGCAGATGGTGGAACATGTCTGCTTGCATCCCTTCTCTTGCACGGCTGGAAGGGTCAATCTGTAGCCTTGTTCGCTACCGCAATGCAACAGCGCGAACCTCATCCGAACCCAATAACGGTGTGGAGGATGAAAAGGCGGCGTATCATGCCCCAGGTGCGGCCTTGCCTTCGTAGTAAGGTGGCGGAACATCGATTCCGTATCTTTCTTTAATTCTCTGCTTCCGCCTTTCCTCGTATCCGGGCCCGTAGATACCTGACACCACGTGAATCAGTCGCTTGCAAAGGTTATCATGTTGAGCGTCCTTACCTCGTCCTTCTCCCAACTCATTGATTGTCTCATTGAGAGGTCTTCTAAATCGAGCTCTGGCCTCCTCTTTATATGTCATCCGGTCATCGAAGGCCTTGTCTGAAGACGATTCGAATATGGAGCGGCCAGTGTAGCTGATCACTCCCATCGCGGTACCGAGGGCCAAAGCACTGCCAAGCGTCGAAGTCATTGAACGCCCTGCTCGTCAGTCAGCCATAGCCCAATACATCTTGTTGTGCATTCCGTACTCCAGAGGCCGTTCAAAGAACCAGCAATGGTACCGCCAATTACGTGGTTGATGTAATCATTCTTCTCTCGTAGGTTTGCAGAAGCCGTGCTTGCGAACTGGAATGTTCCTCCCATAGCCGCTAGAAACAATCAGATCCTGTTTTGCTTCAATTGCCATGCGAAGATTCCAATCATACTGAGTAGACCAATGGTCCTGCCAAAACGTGTAAACACCCCGAAAGCACCAATCTGTTCCTTCGCGACAGTGTTCTGGACGGAAGCGATAAAGAGCCCAGCAGCACCAGTTAATGCAGCTGAGCGCGCCGAAAGACCCAACGCATCCTGAGGTTGGTAAACAGGCTCGTCGACATCGTAGTTAGGCTTGGGGTCCACCAAGTCCCCCATGGCTGCGGTCCTGGTTGCAAGAATTGAGAGCAACCAGGTTCAAGTCATCCGTAGCTTAGGCAAGGCGCTATCGAGTCGGGGGAAGCGGACGAAAGGTCAAGAATTTGCTGTAGACTGAGAAGTTGACTCCTCGTAGACGTGAGAATTATGGCATCTCGCCCATCGTGAAGCTCTCGCCAGAGGTCGGAGAAGCGCAGTCTTGGCGTCTATGGTTTTCCAGAAGTAGAAAATGCTCGAAGCCGCTTTTATCCAGTTTAACCTTCCACCTTTCTCCCCTATTATTTAGACACATCGCTGGCCAGGATATGGGCTCCTATGCCTCATCACAAACTAAGTCATCGGAATGACTTCATTACCTACACAATCGGACTGGTTCTGGTGCCGTAGGTCACACACTTTATCATGATCACCGAGACCATTTCTCTGGCTCTCTAGCACTTTGCGGGGATATGCAGTAACTATGTTCTCATGTACTTTTTTAAATCTGGTCGTCCACCTTGGTGGGAAGTTTCTAGTGCAACTGCGACTATACGTGACCATTCAGAAGACGGCGCACCTTGTATATAGAAATCTCACGAAGCTTAACAGGTATAGTACATAGAGAGGTACGAGCAAGACGAGGTAGGCCGCTCTTCTGTGTCGTCAGTGGCAAGTCTGCCGAGCATATTAAACTCTACAACCTTGGCAATGGAAGCGCCGCCGCCCTTACGCGTTGCCCAGATCTGGGAATCTACGGGCTCTCGAGTCGCATATGCATTTTCGCCGTTTGCAGGCTGCTACGAATTCATACTCCTCCGAGTTATGGCAGAACGTTCTGAACTCTTCTGACACCTAGCATCTTGACTGCGCTTATGATTTAGACTGTCTAGCACCGCTTCTGTCACTGCTCGACGGGACACTGCGTTGGGGACGGTCTTGGGGAGTTGTTCAGTTCAGTTCTCTGCTTCATTTCTCGAATTCCAAGTTCGACCGTTCAGCCGCAGTAGTTACCCGGTCCCAATCTCCTTCGCTCGCATGAGACTAGATCATACGTATCCTGCTTTGTCTAGATCCAGCCACAGGACAACTGCACGCCTGCACTCATTGCTGGCTTGAAGAGCTGGTCGATTGCCTTCGAACCGACTTGCATGGCCGGGGTGCAGAGCAACATTCGGTCCTTCATTGCGCCGATCAAAGGATCTGGTGCGTAGACAAGAGATAAAAGCGAGGAGGTCATGTATAGTGACGAGATACCACAGGTCGAACCGCCCCGGCATTGCTCGAGGATTTAACACTCTACGAACCATGGCGAGACTCCGAAGACCTTCCGAACCTGCTGGCTGATTCGCCTCTCAAGTTCAGTCAAGCACCCTATCTGGCAGACTTCCTACCTCTTGAGAGCTGCAGGCATAAATTTGGTTTGAAGCCGAGACAATCTGATCCCCCTGCATTGGATGAGAAACCCGGGCCACAGACAATATGGACTGTCGCAGCATTCTGTCAGGTTTGCCGCGTCCATCTTCACGTCAAGGTCGATTACACCATCAGATTCGATGACGGTCCCTGCCCAACTGTCGAGCATCCTCTGCATCACCTGGTGAGGTCAGACTTTCAAGAGCCGTTGGAGAGGAATGCGTGGCTGCGCAAGAATCCGAACTCTCAAGATGAGATATACACCTACAAATGCTCTTCCCCTACCTGTTCGGCCGTCGTTACCGTACGATATAGCCCCCCGGTCCTGCGCCCCAGCGACATCCACACGCTGATCGATCCCGCGCTGCTTCGCCAGAGAACAGAAGATGCTTTCCGGGAGCGGGAAGGCCATACGGAGGGGATGCGACACCCAGGGCCAATGGATGTCCTGTTGGATCTTCGAGCATATCTGAGAAACTCCTGGCGTGCAAGAGACGATGCAAAGTACAGGTCAATCAATCTCTCAAACCGGAGATTCATTGTCCGATTTGGACCAGAGGGAAATGCTTGCAAGGAGGTCCTGGAGCATCTCGGCTTCCAGCTTGTGGTAGGTGGAGAAGCTGCAGATTCTGATCCACGTATACTGACTCCGTGTTTGCCAGCCTGGGGATTGCTGGATGGTCCCAGAACCCAATTTCGAAGAAAATCTACCATACCAGAGTCCCGTCAATATCTGGCTAGACAATGCCGAGCACGAGTTGACTGCTCTCCTTCTATCGCGTCCCTACGAAGAGCGGCAGCAATTGCAAGATGTCACCCCTCCTCTTCCTGCCGAAAGGGAGCTTTCACGGGCCCTTGGGTGTCAGGACTGTGCGTCGCCTACCTGCATCTGCGTGAGTTGCGCTAACATCTGGCAGATGACACACATCCTGGCAGCAGAACTACTAGGATCTCTCCTGAGATGAGAACTCCGTACAGGCATACCCTTTCCTTTACCTCGCGAGGCAGGCTAACGTGGAGGTAGTCCTTTCACTGCGCTCGGTTGCCCTATGGATTTGTCGGACCAACTCGTCGCCAAAGCCTACCACTGGCAAGTGCAAGCAGATCGCCAAAATTCACACGTCTACCTCAGTAACCTCAAGTACATTGGAAATCAACGCCAGAGTGAGCTTTTACAGACCGAAGTTGTATTAGAGACTTCACGAGGCCAGTATGATGCGGAGATGTTGGAAGAAGCATACAAAGCCTTCCATCTCAGCGGATCTGGGGGTCCGGTCAGTGACGAACACATTATCGGCTCATTCACAGCTCAACTGGCAGATTCACCAAGCCACGAACACCAACTCAGAGATTATCTCCGCATCATCGGAGTTCATCGTGACAGTAAACGCATCATGGACACCGCAATGAATAGTGAGTTGCGCCCGTCTGTCTCTGTTGAGATTCATCTACTGACTATGTTACCACAGTTATTGACAGCTACGAGTCTGCGCTCGCCTTCCTAGATGCCGATCCCACCATCGAAGACGAGCACATACAAGCTTTGTTTGCCGTCAAGGTTTGTCACCTACTTGTGTGTCAGTCGATCTGCGCTCATCTTTCTTTCAGACAAATGACAACAAGGCTTTAGAAGAGCAAGCCATCCAAGCCGTTCGCGTAATTGCCCAACACCGCAAAAGCCGGTTTCTGTCCAAGTGGATCGATTCAGGATTTTCAAACGATACTCACAACCAAATGGAGCCTGCCGAAGGTTACCAAGCCCTCCAGATCGATAATCGCGAGATCGATGATGAGATGATCCTGTATCAATATAATATAGCCGTCGAAGAAAATCCTGGCAGTGTGGAATACTACAACAGAGCGCTCGCCGCGATCGCCAAAGGTCGGAACAGCTCAATCTTATTGGACCATCTACACAGCAGGGCCCCTCAAGAACCGCAGGGCAAGCCAGAAGAACCTGTTGGACTGGAAAATATTGGGAACACCTGCTATTTGAACAGCTTGTTGCAGTTCCTGTTTACGATGAATGAGGTGCGACAGTTGGTTCTCAACTTTGATGATTACAAGATGCCCTTGGATGAGAAGAGCATGGAGCAAAAGCGCGTTGGCCAGCGAAAAGTGAGCGTCAAGGAGGTCCAAACTGCACAGAAATTTGTCGCCAGCCTAGCGTCTCTGTTCCGTGGCATGATACAAACACCCCGTTCATCCATCAAGCCGGAGCAGGAGCTTGCGCGATTGACTCTGGAGACCGAAAGTGTCAAAGAAAAGATGCGACGAAGGTCCACCCTAAAGTCGAACGAGCGCCCCAGCTTAGGCTCGATCGGTACGCTGCCTGTTTCGGTTTCTTCTCCTGTGATTGACTCTGAAGCGAATGGGATCGCGGAAACGATAATTATACAACCCAAACGCGACACGAATGCCACCAACATCGACCTACTACAGGATGTTGACGCTTCGAAGTTGGATGCGACGGAGGACACAAGTCCTGGCCAGCACAACGTTGATGACCCCGCAACGAATGACAGTGCCAGTGATGTCACTCTGGTGTCCGCTTCTGACAGCGACGGGAATGCGTTAGTGGAACGAAACGAACATGTGTCAATGTCAGACAACAAGGAGAACGTGTCACCGCCTAAGCCTACACCAAACACGGTAGCCCTATCTCCTTGGACTGGGCAGCCTCTTACGACAGTAATATCGAGAGATACCGATGAGAAAGTGTCCAGCATAAATCCCGAATTGTTGAAGTATGCGCCACCTCCTGGGAAGCCACCGCCGGTACCTCCACGGAAACCCATGCAGAATACCACAACCACCTTGGAAGAGTATGCGCGTCAACAAGATGTCACTGAGGTCATGAATCACTGTATCATTCAGTTATCTTATGCCATGCGACCTACCGGTTTCGACAAGTCGGGAGAGCAACGCGACGAAGTACATGATTTGTTCTTCGGGCAGCAGGTTGTCCACAGCAAACCGGAAAAAGAAGCACCAATGGTCTTACCTTTTTTGAATATCATCACGCGAGTGTTCCACCGACCTGCTGATGTATACGCTGCGATCGACAATGAGTTCGATCTCCAAGACGCACAAGATGGCGCAAAGGCGTATTCGGCCATCTCCAGTCTGCCGCCGGTTTTGAGCATTGCCCTGGACCGGGTGTCTTGGAATAACGAGACGAAACGTCAGGAGAAACTGAATTATCATGTCGACATCCCGGAAACCATCTACATGGATAGATACTTGGAAAGTTCACCTGGCTCTGATTTGATGCAAAGACGACAGCAGACGTGGGAGATTAAGAAAGAATTGGCATTACTCGTCGCCCGGAGAGATGAGCTTGAGGAAAAATATGTAGGACAACACACTTCTCCTTTCTGGGATAGACACCAAAAGCTGACATCGTGCGCAGGGCAAATCTACAGATGTCCCTAGCCTTCTCGAAGACGCAAAAGCTATCCTGGAGTATCTGGCTGAAGTACCTGGAGATCAGGTATCAGGCGAACTGGATGTGAATGCAAACGCCATCACTACTCTCAGTATTTTGGCCGCAAATGCTCGTTCTGAGCTCGAACGTAAGAATTTCTCTTCCTTTGCCGGGGCCACAAATGACTGACTTCTCTTGTTTATGACAGAAATTCGCTCTCGCATATCCCAACTCTCTCAACAAATCAAAGAATCCTTCGTTGACATGCGCAAACACCCTTACCGCCTGCACGCAGCGTTCTTCCACCGCGGTTCCGCTGGTGGAGGCCACTACTGGGTATACATATTCGACCACAAGAGAGAGGTGTGGCGGAAATACAATGACGATCGGGTCTCTACCGTCACCAATCTGAACGAGATTTTTGGAAATCCATACGCACAAACCCAAGTCCAAGGTCAACAACAACCAGCCACCAGCAGTGGCCTGAATCCGCCTCCGAATCCGTATCTTTTGATCTATCTGGACGCAGACCGGATTGACGAGCTAGCGGAGACTGTCAAGCGAGAGATTGCGTATCCGCCACCCGACGGCCCTCCCCCACACTCGTATCAAAGAGACAACCAGCCTCAAAGCCAGATGACAGCCATGCCACCCACCCAAAGATTGGACAATGGCGGAGACGTGACTATGCTGGAGTATGCCAATGGTGGTGAGCAGGCCCAACCCTCACAACCAGAGCCTTCCGCCGCCGGCGACGCCTCCCTGCCAAAGGGCCCGAGCGTGCGGAAGGAAGGAAGTTGGGACAACAGCCAGCTGATGATGACGGACAGGAAGATTGACTGGTAACGACGCCGGTCAAGAGGCCGCGTGGTGGAATTTGCAGCCACTGCTGTGACACTGGAACAAAAACACCATTGGTTTTGGCGAGTTCTCTCCGACGTTCATCAATCAATACACACCCGACCTTTGTAAGAAGAGCAACAACAAACAACAAACCCCAACCCCAACCACAAAAGACCACACTTTGATTGCATTTTTGGGTCACTGCAACGGTGGCCAGCGAGAGCGGCATAAGATGCGACGGACGGGAAAACACCCGGGAGAACAGAGGGTCGTGTAACTAATGTAACTTGGACCGGCGTCAAATGAGAAGATTATCTCACACACACGCACATACTTGCTTTACATGGTGAATGTTGGTTTATTTGAGTACATCGACCTAGGATGCCTCAGGCGCTCTGACCACAGGAAAAGGCCAACGGCCATATCGTAAACAGGCTTTGTTCTCTGTACATCCAAGCCTGAAAACTCCCGAGTTGTTCTCAGCTGGACTGCATGGCCACCCTGCGATTGCAAGGAATACCCTAGAAGTGGTCCCAACAAGGATTTTTCGATCTGAACAGCATACATACACGCGGCCAGCCTTGTCGCCGTCGGCACCTTTTGGCGGTCAGCGCGCTTAAATACTGCGTGGCACAGTGCGCGTCTCTCTAGTTCGCAATGGTCCACAGTATATCCGTGTAGTTGTCAGCCTCCCGCAGTCTTGCTTGCACGCTGCTGTTTAATGGGTGCTTTGTGTAAGCTCGCGGTTGGTTTGTGGAGGAGACGTGTGCGAGTGCAGCTCGACCATCGAGGCCCGCGAAGCCTTGAAGTTGAATTTGTTAAGCCAGCTAGCTTCTTGGGGTCTTTCGTAGTGCCTCTACCGATGAAACCCTGCTCTTTTCACACAAGATATGCTTCATCTGGACGCCGCGACCTAGTGGGCAGCATCCCTGTGTTAGCTATTTGGCTGTTATTGCAGGGCTGGGTGACGATTACCTTGACCACTTCTGGATCACTTGAAGCTGCCTCGCGTCGCCGCTGAGTACCCTCAAGTTTTGTCGGTTTGTGCGGTCGACGAATGATACTAGGCTTGAGAATGAGTCAGAGACAGCACGATCGATTTGGATCCACCGAAAGAAAACGTTGTAGTCTCACCCGTCTTCTCCGTAGACCAGCTCAAACTGGGCTTTGCCAGACATCGGTTTCCGTTCGTTTATCGCCCTGAGGAAGTTCATAAGCACCGATTTCTTGGGCATGGCAGTGGGTGACGAACCCTCTCTTGATGGTTGCGTCGCAATTTTGATATTGCCACGTTTCGCATTGCCACGGCGTTGCGCTCGTGGATTCAGAAATTTTTCATCACTATCGGAGTTTTCAAATTGTCGTGTGCCACTGCGGGAGCCTGCACTGTGAAGGGCAGCACGACCTCTAATCTTGAGCCCTTCGGGGCGTAAACCACGGTTGGCCACTTCTTTCTCCCTCTGCTGCATACCTGAAGCGAGAGATAGATTGGTAATCTGGCCCGGGGCGAATGATCTCAACGACCATCTTGCCGCCGTGGCCCTGTTGGCTCGGGGACAATCGCCAACAAGATGGTTCTTACTTGCACAGACACAGCAAGAGACCCAGAGCCTTGTAGGACCACTATCTGCCAATCCATAGGGTAAGAATCGTTGAGGACACGCCTTCTCCGTATGATTCGAAGTTCCACAGAAGTCACAAGGTATCGTGGTGACTCTCAAGTCTGTAGGGCAAGAGTCGGCAGTGTGTCCGCGGTCACGACACTTTGTGCACCGCTGAAACAGAGGGCAGAGACGGCTAGAGTGGCCGGCAGAGCAATGAATGCATGTGATTTCGGGACAGTTTCTCTCGGCGTGGCCGGTTTGGAGACAACTCAGACAGACAGCAGGCTGGTTGAGATCGACCTTGCCGCGACTGACGTGGAAGAAAGCGTATTTCAGTTGAAGTTCAAGCTCGTCCGGGCTCAAATCCGCCAGGTTTGGGCATGCTTGTACCCGCCCGTCGACAGCTTTGGGATGGGTGACGGTGCTAGAGAATCTCTCGAGATCGCCCTGTAACTGGTCATGAGCATCGCGTTCGGTAGAAGAGGGGGGTTGCGTTGTCTCTCTTGTAGACGCCTGGGACTCAGTATCCCCGTCTGCTTGTGAATGTGTTTCTCCCTCTTCTTCTTCGTCTTCTCCCTCCTCTTCGCCCATCTCTGCATCTCCCACGTCATGGTCATCAAGCATCATATCACCAGAGAATCGATGATGTTGGGTGGGCTCAACGTTAATGACCATACCCCCATCAGACTCATCTTGCTCGTCAGAGATCTCGATCGCATCGTCCATGGAATCTCCCAAGGGTACTGAGGCGTTCAAAGTACCATCGCGGTCGCTTGTACTGGGCTGCGATGCGTCAGACGCAGCTGGATGGGGCGCTGCACGGAAACCCGTAGCCAGTCTATTGTTCCCAAAGCCAGCGGCGAGGGAGGAGGTTGTTGTAGTGGTGGTGCCGGCAGCAACATTGTCGGTCGGCGACGCGAGGTTTGGTGGACCATCCTGGTTTGTGGCCGCGGGCGCCACGGTCTGCGAAGCCGCATTGCCCATGGTGGGAGATTGAGAGGAAAGTGAAGAATCAGTTGAAGGAACAGGTGCGGAGTTGACTTGACCTTTTTGTCTCGCATCGCGCATCAAGCCGACAGTCGCGGTCCTCGACTCACTCTCGTTGTCATCGTCATCAGATGATGTGAATTGCACCATCTGAGTTGGAAACGTCGTCATGAGGAGGGACAGGAAATGAAACAATTCACTTTGTTTTTCACGCCTCTAGAAGCCGCCATTGCGAACCAGCCTGCGCGGAGCGCGGGCGTCGAGGCTGCGTCTACTAACTATCGAGGACAGAGCCGCAAATAAGTGGAAGAGGCAGGTATACCGGGAGTCTAGCTCAATAATCGACTAGTCGGTTTTTACGGCTAAAATCCCCCTTTGGTCCCACAGCCTTTCACAGATTTGTGTCCTTCCACCTTTTGATTCCTTGTTCATGTCTTCTACAAAGCCCAGGCTAGTACAGGTAAAACGAAATCAGCACGTCGTACAGACTCGAGCCGGACTGTCCACGAAATACCAGCAAGTTGCAGGGAGAACTGGCACAACCCTCGCCGTCCTGCACCATAGGTATCTTTGACAGCGACATCCATCATTTCACCCAACGCGCTTATGCCCACATTGCCCTGAACTTCTCATTAAACTCCTGCTGAAGGCTGGTGAACGCCATCAAAACGTGCATCAAGTTTCCCTCCTCGCCAAACTCGAACACTTCCGTCTCTGCCTTGGATGCCTTCGGCTGTTTCTTCGTATTCCTGGTATCGGTCGCATGACCCTTCTTCTCCGCTTTGGCAGCTTTGAACGCGTCACCCATGGTCTCCGGGATGGCTCCGTTGGTTTCGGCCGAGGTGTCGTTGTCGCTCAATTCGTCTTCCCAACTGTCAACCAGCTTCGTCTTCCCAGGATTAGATGCCGCCTTTGTAGCGGTAGATTCCTGCTTGGACGGCTCTTGACTTGACGGCGCCCATTGGCTGGGAGTGGCTTTGTTATCCAGGCTGATTTCCACGGCTTTATCATCAAGCTCCGACTCTCGCACGTCACCAAAGCCCATGATATCGCCCGTCTCGTTCCCCGCTGACCAGGAGAGCTTCAGGAAATTTTCTAGACTGGTCACGATGGTGGCGAGGACAAGAGAAAAGTCGTTGAGGACAAACCAGATTTCTCCTTTGCGAATGCTGTTCTCTTTCTCGAGGGCAACCACATTGCCATGTTTGAAGAAGTCGTAAAGGTAAGCATTCAACAGCGCAGCGCTCTCGTCAGGGTACGTCCCTACATAGGGAACCACGGCCTCCTCCAGCCAGACACCACTGCGGACCATCTTACACAGATCAGACACACTCTTCCACTCGTCTCGGTGGCCCGAGAGAGCAACGAAAGCTGAGTTGATTCGAGGCGGCGGGAGGCAAGAGACAGACACGCCGATATCCTCCAATGGCGTGTCTCCACCGCATTTCAGTCCAGTGAGTGGCAAGGTGTGGTCAGGTTTTTTGACGTGCTGGTCAATGTAGGTTGACACGTACGCAGAATATACGTCGAGTGTTTGGTCGTTGTGGGCCAACAGCACTCTCGCTGCCTCTTTTGGCATAGGTGGAAGGATGACGAGTGAAGACGACCACCGTGCTTCGTTGCGGCGGGACTCCGAAACCGACTGTCTCAGATACCGACGACCGAAAAGGTGCGACATGACAAGCATCAAGGTGTGCAAGTCTTGTCCCTTCTTACCATGGATTGGCCGACAAAGTCTGCTGAAATACCCGCTTTTGAGCAAGGCGTGGAAGGCAAAACTTGCATTTCCCGTGTAATACAGGTGAGACACACAACCAGTGAAGTTGAGAGGGGCACCAGAGACGTCCAACAGCTGGTTACGACGGAGGTATTCGATAGAGAACCGCAGATGATGCAAGACGGTATGTTTCGATTCCGGGCCACCGAGGTAGATGCGCGGGCATGATAGGATCGAATTGATCGCCTTGACAGCATACGCAGCCTGTTTCGATTCGTGCAGCAGGATGAAGAGACGTAACACCAGGCTAGTGGTGATGGGAAAGTGGCCGTTAAGGTCTGGGAGCCTCGAGCTGAGCAGCCGGCAGACCTTTGAGTATGGGATTCCTTGGAAGACCACATTGCCCAGCACGTCGAACCCTCGCCGTCCCGCTCGACCCGCCGCCTGGCGAAAATTGAGGGCCGTCAGAAAGATCGAGTCTCCAGAGAAAACAACCGTCTTGCAGGGCATGTTGATACCCAAGGCCAGTGTCCCCGTGGCTATGACCACACGCAAGTAGCCCTTGCGGAACAACATCTCGCACACTTGACGGTACTTGCGGTTCATGCCTGCGTGATGGACCCCGATGCCTCGCCTCAGGGCATCAATCAGCCAGTCCGACACAAAGCGCTTCTCGAGCTCCTTTGCATAATCCCTAAAGTCGGTGGCGCTGACCTTCTTCATATCAGCCAGGTGGAATCCCTCCACGGGGTCATTAGGATTAAAAGATTCCAGGATATTTGACTCCTCCGAGTTTGCCTCCCGCATCCTCTCAGCCCGTGTGGTTGGTTCGTCGTCGGCATTTCCTCCCTTGGTCTTCTTGGGTGCCTTCTTCTTATTCTGCTTCTGTTGGTTGAGCTTCCAGGCTTCCCAGCTGCTGATTTTGGTGTGCCACGTTCTGCTCGATGCCTTCCAGCGGGATTCTGCCGTCTGCAACTCCCGGAGGAGGCGCCGACAGATGAGTTCGCATGCATTCCGGTCGTAATTGAAAAACAGTGCGGGAAGGGCAGCCTCGTCGTGGAGCGAGCAGATAAGAGGCATGGTGGTATCGAGGAAGTCATCCTCTTGAACCGGGCGAGATATCTCGTCTTCGTCGACTTTACCCGAAGATGTTTGCAACGCTGCTCGTCGTGCGCTTCTCACGGGCTGCTCCAGCTCTCTCAGGACAATCTCGAAAGGTGATTCGCGGTCGTCTACCCAAGTCTTCAGAAGGGCCTTGAGGTTGGCTTCCCATTCGATAATGTCGACCTTGCGTACAATCTGCGGCAAGCAATTCGAAGGGTTCAGTGACTCGTCCACGGGGAATGCCTGGGTCTCATGCTTTTTCATGACGTTCCACAACGTCCAGCAGTCCCGCGGTTCGAGAGTTAGATCGTCGGGTATGCCCCTCGAACGATCAACCAAGCTTGCAACGGGATGCATGAAACTCACACCGGTGGCGTTGTCAATTCCAACACTCGGGAGTTGCGGACGGACAAACAGGCCATTGAAGAGAAACTTCTGGGGCGGACTGTAGAGATACTTGCGGAGATCTGAGTAACGGTGGTGATGCTCTATCATCTCGAGTTGGATCCCGTTGGTCTCCTGAGTCTTGCTCAGCCAATTGCTGAATTCTTGCGGGTTCCCGACCGTCGCTGAGAGTGCGATGATGGGGCACGGAGCGAGAAGCAACAACTGTTCCCAAACGACTCCATCATCGGCCTGGCCGATACAGTGAATCTCGTCGAAGATGATACGTTTGACCCGGGAAGACCAACTCGTCGCATTGGTCGGGGCGAGAAGCATGATCTGCAGCATGTGCGGGACCGTGACCAACACCTGACACCCCGTCGGGTTGTTGACGCGGTGGTCGCGCGTGTGTATAGCCCAGACCGACTTCCCGGGAAACTTGAACGTCTTGGAGAATCGGGCCTGGACCTCTGCGGCGATCTGGTTGACAAGGGCTTTAGTCGGCGCGACGTAGACCAGCACCCCGTCATCGTCCTCCTCGAGGATCTGCTTCATGGCGTAAAACGAAATAAACGTCTTTCCAGCGCTGGTCGGGGCGACAACAAAGACACTCCTCTTCCGATCGATCTGGTCCAGCACGTCTCGCTGCCACTTGTCTGGCTCAAAATCACGGACTCGACGATCTGGCGCGGAGCCCATGTCCCGGTCAAAGAACGGGCCGGCGTGGACGAGCTGGAATTCCAGTGGAGATAGTTGAATGCCCACGGCGTCTCTCTTGGGCTCGAACAATACGGTTGTGGAGCCAGTGCTGTTCCTTTCGTGGACTTGAAGCGGCTCCAATGCTGGCAAACCAAGAGTCTTGATCGTGTTGGCTACGTATGCTGCCACCCTCGTCGTGATGCCGTGCTCTAGTTTTTTGATCTGGAGGATTTGGTTCCAAATCAATCCCATGATGGGCATCGCATGAGCTCGTTCCTCGTTCGCACATCTCAATGTCCACATCTCAATCAGAATACTGAGCATGTATACCGACACATCGGCCTCGACCGCTTCTCGCTTGTTTCCGGCCAGGCTGCTCAGATGGTTCTTGACCTTGAGAAAGCGGGACGTGAGGTTTGACTCTTTGACCAGTTCGATTCTCGTGGCATTCCACGCATCCACCAGTTTGGCTGTGTCCTTGCTCCGCTTCTCCAGAACCATTGCGGTGGCGAGCTCTTTGACATTGGCTCGAGAGCCCTGGCTCTTTTCAACATGAGTTGTCTTTTTCTCAGGCTTCACCCTATTGGAGGACCCATGTCTCTTTGCTGGGCCCCCCGTTGGTTTCTCTACAATGATAGTTTCCGGCTCCAAAACCCCTCCGATAGCATTGGTCAGGCTCGCGGCGTAGTCCCTGGTCTCCTTCATGAAAAACTGATTCCGTCGATTTGCACGGGCCTTCTGCCAATCTGTCATCGCCCGAATGGCTTTCTGGTCGATGGGCTGTCGATGGTTATGCCAGTGGCTGAGCTCCTTGAAAATTCGTGATGTGTTCTCTTGACTGGCGGACACGTCTATGGTAAGCTGTATGGGCCCCAGGTGGGGATTGAATACCGGGTTATTGAAAGGGAGGACTGTGGTCCGAACCTCACATCCGTTCGTGGGTATGATCTTCTTTGTGCCCTGGGTCGATTGCGTTGTTATGTTGAAGCGAACGTCTTGTCCAACGGGGAGCCCCGAGGCCTCTAGCTCAAGCTGCACATTGATGGCGCAAGTGTCTTTCAGAAGAGACATAAGGTGGTTGAATGACGAAAACATGGAAGGACCGAGAGTGGCTCGACCGGGTGCCCACTGAAGTGAGGACGCAATGTTGAGGAATAGCCTCCCATCAAGCATATCAGCGAGGTCACACGGTAGCGCTTGACGCAGGACATTTCTTTGCCAGGTGTCCGACACCAGAATGCTGCGGGATATGTCGACAAAGTCTGTCAAGAAACTCGAATTGGTGCCCGTGCTTGTATTGTCGAGAGCGCGATCGCAGAGACGACAGTCCCGCACCACGATCGTATGTAGGAGCATTGCACATGTTTCTCGTACAGCAGCGGCGCCATTTTTGCCGGATCTGAACATGAGACTCAGGGCTGTGACTACCAACAGATCCCGTTGTGATCGAGGCGGCTTCTTCGTACGCTCGAGAATCCTCAGTATCTCCGCGAGGGTTTCTGCTAGCAGCAGGTGGATATTCGCTTCGGTTTGATTTCCATTCTGCATTGTGTCCGGTACATAGTTCTCACTTTTTTCGTTGCAATCGTTATTTTCGACCGCATGGTAATCAGTACAGTCTGCGCGGTCTGGGTCCGGGGATCTTGGTCCGGATTCGGCTTGGGATTCCACCTCGGAGGCGGCAGATACTTGAGATGTGTTACTTTGCGTCCGCATGGGCTGGCTCACTCGCATTCTGGTGCCCTCGACAATCATTGCCATTACCTGATGTCATTGTCAGATGTTTCTTGGGACTTGACCCTGGGCAGGATAGGGACCACTTACCTTCGTGTCCCGGAAATCCACCGTGGTGACGAGAGCAATATTGTAACTGTGACCGATGAACCAGTGGATCATCCGGCGCAATGCCACTTTCCGAGCGTAGTCAAATCGAGTCTCTTGGGACATTGGTTGACCAGGCGCTTTGTCTTGTTTTGAAGTACGAGCTGTATTGTCACCGTCATCTTCCGACTTGTCTTGAACATGCAATGATGGAAAAGAGCCGTCATGGCACATGAAGAAATATGCCCCTGTTGATGCCAAATACTTGTCAAAGTCTTGAGAAGAATACGAGTCGAATACTTTGACTTCCAAGGATGAGGTCGTGAGAGAAATATTGCACTTGAAGTGTTGAATGATTGCCTCCCGAGCAAGGAGATACCTGGAGCGCAGTTGAGCCGGAGTATTCCGTGGAATGCACAAGTGCGCATGTTTGTTGAAGAAAGCGAGATTAAATTTGCATTTCCGCTGAAGGAGAGCCCGAAGGAAGTTTTCCACGATGTATGTCGCATGGAGCAGTTGAAGACCTGGCGAGAAGTCGAGTTTATCGTCTGAAAACGAATGGAGAAGCAATGAGTCTCCTTCGATGATGAATAGTTCGTCGCCCGCATAGTCGCCTACGAGGTCCACAGTACGAGAGTAGAGGCCGTCATACCTAATGATGCTTTAGCTTGTTTCTCACTCAATCAAGTCCGAGAACTTACCAATCCAGCAAATCCTGGGGGTTGACCATCTTGAGATGTTGAAAGGGCGATGAGCCAACGGTAGAGTGCACGATCTTTCCTGTGCAGGTGACAAGGTGAGCTGAGCAGATTCTCATTGCCAGCAGGGGATTCAGCATTGTTTTAAGCGCCCATGCCGCAGCGCTACGTACCTGAATCTTCTCAGCCCTGTCTTGATAGACTGGGGGAGAAGTGAGCGCTGAAGGGTGTGCAGTGTTGCTATTTGTCGAGATGGGCTTCCTCTCCTGGAGGATGGTGAGTATGCGGGGTTCTTCCCATTGAATAAGAGCAGGTGCACGGCAGAGGGTTGAGAGAGGGCAAAGTTTGAACCTAGCCAGCCGCAGTGAGGCTCACATTGCAGCCCATCCGTGTGTGCCTCGTGTGCTTCTCCACGAGGTACTTGATGTTTCTTGGCGCGTGAATCCCAATGCAGTCATCCAATCATATGACGAAGTTTCTGCATCAAATGACAAGACTTGGCTAGAGCCTCGGAGCGGGCCGGTAGTTGCCTACTACAAACGGTTAGTAGACAAATTTGCAAGTCGTGGAAGTGGAAGTGGAAGTGGAAGCACGTCTTGATGGCCACAGTTCTCATGGCGGCGAGACTTTCCTCTGGTCCACTGTATACGTACCGTCCAAGGTCTTGTTAGTCGGGCTGTTGACCTCATGCCGAGTCCAAGCAAGTCCTCTGGCTGGGTGACCACATTGGCGGCAAGAACAATCAATCTTGTAGATCAATCCATCAGGCTCCGCATGCCTGAAGTAATATTCTCACAAAGCGATTGGGACCTCGTTATTAATCAGTGTTGATCAGTTCCATCTACCTCTACCGACACAAGCTGGAGCGGATGCTGGCTGGCAACGCGGTACCCAGATGGCGTGGACTTCTACCACTCTATGATCATGTTGTTTCTTGCACAAGCGAAGGAGATCCTCACCTGACTGAGAAAAGAAAAGGTGGAACGAGGCAACCAAGACAAAGAGACCGCTCCTCGGCTCATGTGAAAATGGGTCTAGAGCGGGTGCATCTGTGCGATTGAACCATGCACAGAAGCATTCAATGAGGCTGTCTAATGGACGTGGGTGCAGAGCCACACCCTGGCCAGCGACTTGATTCTAGCGGGCGCCAGGCGATGATCCGCGAGCGACGGATATGCGGGCCATTCGTAGAGATGACCTCTCACATTCTAATCTTCTGGCCAGCTCGATCACATTGATCCAGGTGCGTTGGAATAGGCTCCCGAAAGCGGGGTTGCGCGTGCTCACAGGAGGAAGTGTAAGGAGATTGGGTCGTCTCCTCCCGCCAGCCTCGGATTCGTAGGGTACTTGCCCACCATTCCACGGGTAGCCAAATGCTAAGTAGCAAATAGGCAGCGTGTTCGTATTTTGCCCGGCGAATGATGTTGCTCGTACCTAAAGCAAGAAAGCGGTTGAGGTTGCCTCACTGATGTGGTTCAGGTCGCAAAGGACCGTCAGGGCAGGGGTGTGCTTTGAGCATGATGACCCGCCCACGAAGCACATGAACATGACCGGTGTACATGTTGCTGTGCTTCTCTTGTCTTGCCTATTTTCCTTCTCGCTCGCTGTTCTCTGTGTCTTGTGCCCACGAGACCTCTTACTTTTCCTATCTGGCTTTCTATTCGAACTTCACAATGAAGAGCAAGAGTGGTGGAGTCTGTTTCAGCTATCTTGAATTTGGGACATGCCGCTTTGGATCGACGTGCAAGTTCGCCCATGTTGAGCCAGAGGAGAATGGTTCTGAGGTAAGTTGCTGCATTCTCAACTTTGCGCCAGTGTCTTTTCTCGGCCGTCTCCTCTCTTCTCGTCCCTTGCTAAGTCAAGTGTCCAGCAGTCTTTCGATCAAAGCCCGCAACGAAATGACCGTATTGGTGATTTCTTTGCCGAATATCCCGACTTCGACTACGATGAGTCTGCAGAAATTTGGCGCGAATTTTATCGCATGTGTGATGAATTTGGTTGGGATAAGAGGCAGGACGAGAAGGAGGAAGCCATGGAGAACTTCAAGTCAGCGATGGTTCAGCAGTTCAACGACCTATATGGCACGGACAGGGATGACCTGAATGCCTGGCAGAGTTTGTGTCATGTTCTAAATATCGTCCCAATGCCTGTTGGCCTGAACGATTGTCGAAAGGTGAGCCCTGATACCGCTCCACTTGTTCGTGTTGATAGCAGTCGTTGACCACGAGTAGCGGATTCGGCAGACGCATGTCAATCTTGTGGACCTTGTGGACGCTCCGCGAACAGGAGTTCCAGTGAGGGTGTTTGCAAACTTGAAGCAATTGCAAGATTACACAACCGGGACTGGAAAGTACTTCCCGAAAGAAAATGCTTACGCTGGAGGGTTGCTCCGATTCCTGTTGCGAGATATACTGGGGGGACCAAAGAGAGGGAGGCAAAATGCACCTTGTGGAAGAAGAGGCTGAGAACTTTCGAAGCGGGGTCTCGTAAGAAGAGAGCACCAAGGGAACCATATTAATGTCTCTCGGGTATTGACATAGGCATTTTCAAGGACTTAGTTATTCTAAGATGACATTGAAGGCCGTCCTCTTTTGTCGGGGCAATAGAAAGCAGCGTGAAGGACGCACCAGACGTTCCTTTGTAAGAAACCACGCAACAGTTCTCGGAGTTAGTCACGGGCGAATTTTGCCCAAGTGGTGTATCATCAAATATCTCGTTCTCTCTTGTCCGCCGTTCGGATCTCGGCCATCAGTGCTTCCATCCTTGTCGGTTGGGCCGGTTCTCGAGGACCAGTTCAGTCTAAAGTCGAGGTAACGGCCGTGAAAGAGGGATAAAGACGCAGTCATATGCAGTGGAAGATCGCAGGAGGAAATAGCGAGAGATTTGAAGACGTCATTTCCAGCATAATCTGGAGAAATGTGGTACAGTAATCAAGACAAACGAAGCTTCTCCGTATTAATACCGAGGTGCGCACTAAAAGTATTGTCAACGCTAGTAATAGAATAATAAGATTATTAAAAGACAACAGACTTTATTTTCGTTGCCCCTCACGGCGGCCCCCGGAGATATCGGAGCTCAATCCTCGATACCTACAGCGCCTATCGAGACTGAAAATATAGACTAAGCTACCGCCTATTAGCTCTGACTTATAGCTAGGAGATAGGTTATGAGTGCCTATAAGCTTAGAAAATCTTCTGTCATAGTAAGTTGTATTTGTCATTTGAATTAGCGTACACAGTACTTTTAGTGCGCACCCTCGTATTCTATAAGTAATAAAGTGTTGAGGGCACCAAGCCAGATTGATCCAAGGTCTGCCAAGAAGTCTGACGTTGAAGGCAGGAAACAAGCAAGAGGGAATTCCACCTGCCGCCCACAAATTGGAGCACCAACGGGGGTCGTGTGCGCTGTGACCTTCATAGTTAAGCTGCCTAGACGCCTAGATACCTACCTAGGCATCACTGGGAGGACTGATGTACTTATACCGAGTACTTGTCTGTACCTGGGACTCACACTGGCTCACTAGTTTGTCGGCTGCCTGTTGCATTAGTTAACGCTTTATCCCCCTCTGGCTGGTGGAATCTGGTGCCCGTCTTTAACTAAACCCGATCTCTTTCTTGACTTAGATCCCCCTTCCAACTGTGTAAATTATTACCGCCTTCACCAATTCCCCCATCCGCCAGCCGAGCCACCACCTCACCCATTTATATCCAAATCTGAGACTTCGTCGGTCGACCCCGAACACCGTGCGCGTCTCACTACATACCCCTTCTGTCTTTGTGTCTCCGGATCTTATATACTCTGTGCGCACACTGTTAGCAGCCTGTCAACTTAAATTGAATATCTTCTGACATTTATTCCACTTCATGACTACAGACTCCGGTCTACTATCGAGCTTCACCCTTCGAACGCGACTGATCCCGCGACCACCCCCCCAAGGCTCCCTCAGGTACGGACGAACCTTACGCCACCTCTCACTTCGCGTTGCTGACCACATGCAGGCCTTTTCACAGTTCACGCCTTGCGATAGTTTCTCCATAGCTCCTCGTTTGCACTTCACAAGATAACGTCCTCGCGTTGGCAACAACACCTACATTTTTCGATGACCTCCCAAACAACCCTCCACCGCTCTATCTCCTTCGAAGCCAATGCCAGACTGGCCCCTCCCGTGTCGTCCTACGATCCAGCCATGAGTACGACGAAGAGTGGTCGGAGGAGGCGGTCGAGCAGCATCATATATCAAGAACCTCCCGAGTCCTTAGAACAGATCAGTGACCAGTCTGCCCTCCCAAATCTCAACTCGCAGTGGGTTAATGCAAAAGGTGCGCCGTGACGATGAGAGAGCCACAACCTGATATTGAAACCAGAGAGCAAGGGACTAATCTAACAATATGTGCAGGAGCCTGGACAATACACCCCGTTCTGATAATCGGCCTCAAGATCCTCTTTGACATCATCCCTGGCGTTACCCAAGAGATATCGTGGACACTCACAAACATAACATACATGGCGGGATCCTATCTGATGTTTCATTGGGTGCGAGGCGTGCCTTTTGAATTCAATGCCGGAGCGTACGACAACCTGAATATGTGGGAGCAGATTGACAACGGCGACCAATACACACCCGCCAAAAAGTTCCTTCTCACCGTGCCCATCGTCCTGTTTCTGTTAAGTACGCACTATACCCACTACGACTTCACGTACTTTACCATCAACTTTATGGCCCTCATGGCTGTCGTCATACCGAAATTACCGCAATTCCATCGTGTGAGGATCGGCCTCTTTTCAGAGCCCCCGGACGAGTGAGGGGCTCACCTGTGAAACATTCTCCAAGTTGGCGGTTTTCTTCTGGTACATCGAGGCGCGGGGCCGATGCGAGTCCTGGTGAATGGCCCCTGCTCCGTTCGCTTTCGTGGACTAGGTGGTTTTCTTCTCGCTTGTTTTCAACGGTCTTTTTTTGGGAAATCACAAAAGGAGGGATACCATGATCTTTGTACTAGCAACAAGGGTTTATGCGATCAAAACAACAATCTCCCGGTCGAAGAGAGACAGGGAGGGTTGGGCCGGAGAGAAAGAGAGAATCGATAGCCGAGAGCGGACGGGGGACAACTGGTCATGGACAAGGGGCTTGGTGAGGTGGGAAATGGCAAGGTGATCCTGTATCAGGCCGAAGACCTGGCGGTGGCGGGGAAAAGGGAACGTGCGACTTGAGAGACACTGAAGATCTTGCTTGTGCTTCATTCGTGCTTTGGGAATGCCTTGAACAGAAATTTGAGCTCAGCAGGAAAATGATGGATGGGATCAGGAAACCAAAATCTCATGCTACTTTTGTCCCGCCCCCCACACAAATCAAATCAAAAATGATATCCCCCGTTTTCAGTTCCCAAGTCCGCAAATCCCTAAGTCATGGTGTGTGTGTGTGTGTGTGTGTGTGTGTGTG